ATACTAGACTAGCTCTGATAATGAAGAGGATCTCAAATCTCCCTCAAAACAACCATGTGCTGTCTGAAAACCGATCCACAGGGGTGCCAAATCCAAGCCTCCTTTGGAAGAGAACAGCACGGTCAAGGCACCACAACCGAGAAGGCCCTGTCTGAAGTAGTCAGGCCACTGCACACCAGATGGTGAGAAGGGCACCTGAAAATGACCCAAGCACAGAGCCGGTCCCTACACAAAGATGATTCTCCTTAATCCATCACTGTACACAGACATGCAAATCAGTTTCCATGTTTTAAATGGGTGCCGCAGGCATGGAAACAGGCAGAGCTGTGCGTTACATCTCAACTTCATGGGACCACAGAAAACGTACACAGTGCAATGAGTACAGAATTCGGCTGGCTGACCATGCAATTGTCAACCATCATTGCAAAGTTATTATTTTTTAATGTTTACACACCCCTTCAGGTAAGACATCCCCAAACGTTTTGAACATGACCAGTTTCTTAGGCAGATACCAAAGTCCCTGGGGCATCAGCCGCGGGTGCAGATGCGCATTTTGTCATTCTGCGTATGCTGCTGGAAGCCCTGACATATGCCTAGAACTGTGCACATCAAGCACCCTAAATAGACATGGAATGGAAGCACCTTTCACATTGCTTCTGTAAGCATGTGGGAAACCTGTAAGCTTAAAGAGTGGTCAGAATTGATCCAGAGTGAATAAAGCAAAGGTGTGGAACTTTCTTCAGACTAGTGGCTGAATTCCATCCCATGTGGCCAAAACTATAGGGCTAGAGCCAGAATAGGTACATGTTTTCACTTAGAGCAATTCCTGCCAGTAACCTAGCCTTGAGAGAGGCGTTTCAACATCATGGGATGAGGAAAAGCAGCACAAAAGTTAGGAAAGCACCCAGTGATCGGTGGTCAGGGGAAAGGGCCTTGGCCTTCTGAAGATACCTGGAGGACCCAACTGGGACCTGCAGGTCTGTGTCCATTCTCCCTTGGAGTAACAGCCACTATGCAAAACGGCCTGGCAAAAGGCAGCTCTTCTGTGCAGCTAACTTACAAACTACTGATGAGCAGATGCAAAAAGCTTGCACAGAGGCAGGCAGCGGAGAAGGCGTTAAACCTGTTGCCTTGCTTCCTCTCATTCACACTCTCCTGGACTTCCATTTCTCCAAAATAAATGTATTTTTAAAAGGCTTTCATCAAGCTTGGGCAGCAGTATGAAAACACACTGCCATCGACTGAGTACACATAAAGCAGACTTTTGCCATGACCTACATGTTCTCCATACAAAATAAATCCTGCAAAATTATGCTAATTGCTGAAATTTGCATTTTTTTGCTTATTTTGTCTCCTGCTGTCAGGATCATTTTGTCCAATAAAGGAACTTGGAATCAAGCCGTCTTCCTGGATGCAGGATGGAGAATTCTCTAGAATAGGTCTACCACAATGAAGCTGCCTTATACCATCAGATCACTGGTCCTCCAGCCCAGGATTGCAAGCTGACCTGAGCTATTGCCCTCTGAGGTCTCTAACAGAAGGTATTTCCCATCAAAATCTTTATCATTGATACAGGCAAACATATAACCCACCAAACACAATTCACATGCAACACAATCTACATTTGGGGACTGTTGGGGCAGAGGGGCAGGAAATCCTCTGAGTGAGTGGTTTTGTTTTTTGTTTCAATCTATCTTTTTAAATCTTTCCTCCTTTTCCTTCCCTTTCCCCCACCTTTCCCTTCCTTTCCTTTCCCCCTTGTGATTGAAAGACAGAGGAAGGTATTTTAAGTGTGGAAGGTTTGTGTAGTGTTGGATTAGTTTGATCAATAGAGAGGTTTGTTGGAGATTGTTTAACTTGGAGTGGGGTTGAAAGACTCTGCTGGTTATTGCTGGTAAGCTAGGAAGGTTCAGGTGTGGTTGAATACTCAAAGTTGTATTGTGCATAGACGTTCCCCCCTTCTTTTCTTCCCTCCCCCTTCCTTTCTCTTCCCCCCTTTTTATTTACTATTATTATTTTTTTCCTCCTCCTCCATTTTGGTTTTATTCTGTTTGATTTTGTTTAGTTGACTTTGTGGCTTTTATTTTGGTTGGTGATCCTTGGGGAGCATGAAAGACACATGCATCACAGTGGTTACAGGTAGGGGGACGTATGATGATGGGGGTTGGACTGGCCGAAGAAGAAGAGGGGACAGGGGACAGGTGTCTTACTGCTATTCCCTTTTCCGGTCCATTCCCCAGCCGGATGGTCCCTGGTAACCGTGCCGGTTTGCTCTCAGGCCTGGTGGTGCTGCTACGCAGTGCTAGGTCGGCACATGATAAAATCTCACTGATCCACAGTTTAATCATGGGTGAGGGAGCTGACCTGGCCTGCAGTACCAAGAGCTGGCTGGGAGAGTTGCGGGAGGGGGTTCCTCTCTCCCAGCTATGCCCGCCTGGGTACTCAGAACAGCACCAGCATCGCCTGCAGTGCCAGGGAGAGGGGGTTGTTGCGGTTCATAGGGATTCTATCTCCCTCTCCAGGCTTCCTGTCCACTCGGGTCCAGGCCTTGAGTGTCTTTACCTGCCGTTGAGTGATCGAGACAGATTAGGGTTTCTGCTGGTTTACTGTCCACCCCACAACCCAGCCGACTTCCTGCCTGAGATGACACAGGTCATCTTGGACCTGGTGTTGAAGGCCGCCCAGGAAGTTGGTCCTTGGGGACCTTAGCCTCCATGCGGAGGCTGCCTTATCCAGGGTGGCCCAGGACTTCATGGCAGCCATGAGAACCATGGGGCTGCCTCAACAGGTCATTGGCCCAACACATGAGAAGGACACACTCTGGACCTGATTTTCTCAAGTGGGCAGGATAATGGCAATCTGATGTTTGGGGCTTTGACAATTACCCCTTTGTCATGGTCAGATCACTTCCATTTGGGGTTTGAACTTCAGCTTCCTCTTCCCTCTGCAGGGGTGGAGGACCCATTAAGTTGGTCCACCCTCAAAGTTTAATGGACCCTATGGGTTTCCAGAAGGCTTTGAGGTTTTTCCAGCTGGCATGGTAGGTGCTCCTGCCAAAGCCCAGGTCTCTCTGTGAAATAGGGAGATGACCTGGGCAGTTGACACGATTACTTCCAAGCAAAGGGGAAAGGCCAGGAGGAGAGCATTCTCAGCAGTAGCACCCAGACTATGGAATTCACTCCCCAGGGATATCCGGTGAGTGCCTACTCTTCTTTCTTTTAGGTGACCAGTGAAAACCTTTCTATTTAAACAAGTTTTTGGTTAATTTATGTTATTTTATTTTGTATCTTGTTATGGATTATTTATTTTAACCTAATTTTGGTTAATTTATTAATTGTACATATAGTTTATTATGTGATGTTATTTATTATTTCATTATTTTGTCTATTTTATTAGATTGCCAATTACTTTATTGCATTGTACATACGTGTTCATTTTGTTTTAGCATTTGTAAGCCACTCAGAGAACCTTTAGGTTATGGGGTGGCATGGAAATGGAATTAAGTAATTAATAAATAAACACTAATCCTGCCTTCCCCAAACCAGGGACTTCCAGATGCATCAGACTACAACTTTCCTCACCACATCTAACTGGGGTTGATGGGTTTTGTAACCCAACACATCTGAACAGCACCAAGTCAGGGAAGACTGCACTAAAAAAAAAGGCTCTTCATACAGTTGAAGGAGGTAGCTTGTCTAAAGCCCTGGGCTCTAGCACTCCCACCAAAGGCAATTGGAAGAGAAATAAACCAATATTCAGTTTTGCTGTTCCCAAATTCTGGCTTGTACATTACATGTGAACCAGGAATTGTGACTTTGATTTCTGAAGCAAGCTAATCTGTCTAGGGTTTGCAGTTTGCTTGTTCAGCAGTTTATATTCACTGGTCAAACAGAGTTGGGGAAAAACCCATGTGCTTCATGCATCCATTTCCCTCTCTCTTCACAGCCCCCACCCCCTCAATGTATGAAGAATAGCAACCCAATTTCCAGTCCCAACGTTCAGATAGGCATGCTAAGAAACCCCTCCTTTCCTCCAGGAGACTTGATGAAGTGGGATGACCATATGTTTGGGTGGCCCTAATATTTATCCTTGGCTAAATTTTACGTTCAGGGACAACAACACCACATGCTGACAGGAAAACCAGCCCATAAATTATTTGGGGATATGAAAGATATTAAAGCAGGCATCCACTGAGCTTGGAACCCAATTGCATAATTTAAATCCCTTAATACAGTTAGGAATTCTCACTGCTAATGAAAAAGCCCTGGGAAACATTAATCACAAGTCTGAGACACAAAATATAAGAATTATTCACAGCACAACCTATTTTTGGCAACCATACACATTTGCAATCAAGTTTCTAATACTAAATGGCAAAGCCATACAGAATTAAGGTCATCGAGCAGCTTGAAATAAAGCTGACAGCTTGATCATACCAAGTCCTTGGACACATGCCTTTTTTAGCATCCTAAGAATCTTAGAAACGCAAAAGCAAGTTTCTGGCACTCAGGATTTTAAGAGGGAAATAGGTAGACAATTTCTGGTAAAGCTGAACAAAAGAGCAAAGTAAACTGCTTATAGCAGGGACAGTGTTGGGCTCCCTGCTTTTCCTCCAGGAAGGGTAAATACCCAGACCACGCATGCTCAGTCTGCGACAGAGTCAACAGAGACTGCTTCCAGGATGTGGTAGCTATTAACTTCTAGGACTACTGAGAAAGCTTGAACTAGAAGGAACTCCCCACCCGCCCAGTGCCTGCACTGTTCATCAGAACTGTGAGCCACTACAGGTGCAGCGAGGCTTCTGTGCTCAGTGGCCAACATGCCAATCAGGCTCAGGAACATTCAGACAGGTGTGAAGAAAGGAAACAGATGCACACAGAGGCTTCTGTTCACAGTAACGCAGGTTTAGGCTCTTTTTGCATGTTCCGCGGCCAGCTGTGAGTGTTGCGGGTGCATCGACTCACCGAGGGCAACTGCCCCTGCAGGCACACCCGTCTCACCTGTGCGTATTTCCCAGCGCATATCATTCCATTCCACCGTGTGACAATAAGACAGCCTGGGTGCCGAATCAGATAGTTGTCCAGCCTGCCAACAAAGGTGTCTGGAAATCCTGTCACGGAACCATCCAAATCATGGAAGATTGCGACTTTGTCACCATCGCTGTTGTTGTCTCCAAACCATTGGCCTGGCTGACCCAAAAACACCCGGAGACCAACCTTTAGAGAAAGACAATGACAAAGTCATTCTTCTTGCAGCTACTGGATGAGGGCTGCCGTCTTCTCTCGAGTGCTTGGAAATGGAAGCACTCGGCCAGTTCTCCACAGACCAGAAATACCAAGCCCCATCAGCACAACTCTGTGCTTTTAAACAGCTACACAGCAGGCAGAATCTCAACAGGCAATGCTCCCCCATTTTTGCAATGCCAGGCTGAGAAGCATGTCCCATCTGACTTTCAAGCTGTTGAAGGGACAAAGCACCTATCAAGTTTTTTAAAATGTGGGAATCCTAGGCTGTCAGACTGGACATTTCCACATTCTGGCCATGTATAGGGTTTGTGACTCACACATTTGCCAAACTGCTGCAAGAGTTGCCCCAGTTTATCTGCCCACCACCATTCAAGGTAGCTGAAGCCAGGAAAACCTTTTCAGCCCAAGGGCCAAATTCCAATGTGGAAAGGAGCCCAGGGTCCCATTACCTCTGTGGATGGGGCCAAACTATAATGACCACCAATGTTAAAACTACTCAGAACTAAGCAAGAGCAAATCAGCAGCAACATCAACAGCATCCCAAATAGCATGTTTCTGCTTGTCTACTCAAAGGCATAAACAACATGTCTAAGGAAGGCAAGACTGTGAACTCAGAAGTAAGCAGAACAAACCTCGGAAGTAAGAAGGCCTGAATCACTTCCATGGACCTGCTCCCTCCCCTTGGCAAGAAAAGGGGTCTTATCTTTAATGAGCATCTGATTGGAGATAAGATCTTTTCCCTTCCAAGGTGGGAAACAGAGACCAGGGAAGAAGCCGGCAGGCATGCAAGATGGCAAACCCCCACAGGCCAGGGGCTCTTGCTTTAAGCCAAGAAACAGTGACTTGTTCCAAAGTTATCCACTGAGCTTCATAGTGCCCAAAGTTGAATTCAGGTCTCCCCAGTCCAGTTTCAACACTCTAACCATTGTGCCACATTGGCTCCATACCGTAATCATATGGTTTGAGCATTGCCCCTTAGTACTACCTATATGAACCTACTTGTGCATTATTAATGTGGCTCCTTGACCTATGTTTCTTTCCCCATTCAATTATCCCTCCAAAGGGTTCAGTGAAATTAAAGTGCTATTTAAATCCTACTTCTGTTGTTATTAAAGGCATTACATGGCTCAGGGCTGAATCTGAAAGCAAAACAAGGAACAGCCTTGCTGGAGCTAAGCAGGTCTGAGTCTACATCAGGCAGAAGGTAGATCTAGATCAGATCTCAGGGCAATTTGCAGCAGATCAGCAAGGATTCCTGGCTCCCAGTCACTTAACAGTAGCAGGAAAAAACAGCGTTTCCCCTATCCTCAAGTATCGTGCCGAGAAGGCAGGGAGGCTTAAATGGAACCCTGCACAGGAGCGTTCCACACTGGAACACTCGTTTGCTATTTTTATGGATTGAGTTTGCACCCGCCTTGATGGCCGGCATACAAGGGCATCATTATGGTGTTGCGCCTCAGGTCCTCCCCTGGGGCAACTTCAAACAGGTGTTGCAACATGAGAGAAGAGGTTTGGCACAGGATTAGACACACCGCCGTCTGTGCTCTTGGTCTGTGTGGCTCCTCTCAACTCCACGTGCTTATGAAAAGACACAGAACTGAGCCACGTCTCGTCCTTCACCTGAACTTATACGCCATGTTTAAGGAGTGAAGGCATGGAAGCCAGAAGCCCTCCTCTTTCATTTGATAAGGGATTGGTCAATTGATCTGTCAAGAGCTCTCCTCTCCCCAAACCCAGGCCATTGTTAAGGCTGGCTTTGTCCTTCCACAGGACCATATGATCAGTTCTGAAAGAGGAAGTAATTTGAAAGACACATGACACCTCAGGTCTCACTCCGGAGAGATAACTTGGCCTGTTCCAATATATCAGACACAGTGTCCCAATGGCAGGAGTGGGGATTCAGGGTATGGGCCAAATCCACAAATTTGGCCCTCTGGGGCTCCTCAGGTGGTCGTGTCTCCTTCCTGTTTCCCCCAACCACAAATGTTAGCTGATTCCTCAGTGTCTGAGTAGTGTTTTCCCCATTCTAAAAGGTTGAATTGCCTCTTCTAACCAGCAAGTTAGAGTTTTAAGGTAAAAACCTGCTGGTCTTTTTTTCCTCCTGCTCCTTTGACTTTGGCCTACTCAGCACTGGGACACAGTCCCCCAAGATCTTTTCTGAAAGGGGATTCAGGCCTCAGACAGGAAGCGATTCTGCACCCCTGCCATGTGGGGCACCAATGTCACAGGGCAATGCTTTCAAACAAAGACCTTCTCCTGAGAAATCTGACGTGGGACTATTTTAAGGAAACTGCAGCACATCAGTGCACTAATGTTCAAGTTTGTTTTCAGTCTGATGTCCCCACTCTGCAAGAATCTACCTCAGGTATGGAGCATGTCCTCATGGAAATAACTTTTTACTCTTTGCACTTACACTTTTTTCTATCTTGACCAGCGACACGTTGTTCTGGGGGCTTATCTGCCAAGCATTCTTCATGAAGAAGCCAATGGCACTTGCATATCTGTCAGCTGTGGGGGTAAATTTTCTGAAAGTGCATTTGGTCAATCGAACAGGACCATCATAGATCTGGAAGCCACGGATTGGAAAGCTCCTAGAGAACAATGGAAAACAAAAGGCCTCAGTCTTCTGGGGAGCAAGGAGGGCAAAAATTATGGATTGTAGCCAATGAAAGCTGGTGGCTCTGGGTATCCATTCCAGAGTCCACGCTAAACCTTAAAGTAGCTATCCAAGGTTCTGAACCTATCTGGGCCTTGGGTTTGGCACCATGGCAGCACCTGTAAAGCCACACATAAAATCCAGAGTAGATCACCAAGTGCCGCCAGTCTTGCAGCTTTTAGTAATGTTACCAAAAACTTAAATTGTTTTTGCCTTTGCATCTTCCAAGCAGTTTGGTTTAGAATGTGACTGCCCCCTTTATCCTTACAAGATGTTTATCTATCTATTCTCTTCTTTCAACATTTCTGTATGGTCCAAGAGTCAAAGCTATCAAGTCAGTTCACAACAATTGAAAAATATAAAATACAGCATAAATTACACTATAAACATGTTAAGATGTTGCACTAAGGTATAAAATGGAAGTCAAAACCAGAAGAAAACCTAGCACAATACAAAGGCTTAGAATACAACCAAGGATTTAAAACAGCAGAGACTGAAAAACTAACATTCCTAGGAAAAGAAAGCATACAATGCAGGTACCAGGTGAGTCTCCCTGGAAAGAACATTGCACAGTAGGGTCCCCCAGCAGTTAGATAAAACTGCTGTGGCACCCCGACCCACCCCCACCTGACTTCTTTTGACAGGGGCTCCTGCAGAAGGACGACCGAGGACAATCCTGGGGTCAGGGCAGGCATATATGGCAGAAGACACCCCTGCAGAAAACCGAGCCTCAAGCCATTTAGGGCTCTGAATGTTAAAAGCATCATTCTGAGTTGGGCCTGGACATGGACTAGCAGCCGGCGTGGACAAGGAACTACTGGCTAATACAATTGTGTCAGTCGGTCCCCATTGGCAGTCCCACTGCCTGGTTTAGACCAGCTGAGCATGAGAGATTAAGGGATGGCTGAAGATGGAGATTAAGGGGTATTCCGATCATGGCCTCAAGTCCAAAGTGGTAGTGGCAACCCTCATGCTGGCCCCAGCAATTCGCACCCTGGTGGACCTGTATTTTGTAAAATGGAGAAAGGGGCATGTCGCCCACCAGATTCCCAGGAGAGCCCTACACATGCACAGCCTTTTCAGACTAAATGTGAATCGATGCCTGCAGGGAGCACAGGTGGTGTGCGGTGGATTCCCACCAGCTACCCATTCATTGACAGCATGATGGAGTTGCTACTACAGGACCTCCCTGTGTGGGACCTCTTCCATCCAGGGCCAACATCCACCTGGAGGCACTCTTGGGGCTGCGCTCCAGTGGTGGGCAGGGCCAAAAGCAAAAGGGACACCAAAATTCCCCGTCTCTTGTAGCTAAAAGCTCTTCCTGCCCATAACTAAACCTTTAGAATGGGAAACACTGCACAAAAGTCAGGAAACCACCAAACAATTAGTCATTGAGGGAAAGGTAGTAGTTGGGAAAAACTGCTGACTAGATAAGGCTGGGAGATAATGCACATTTTTATCTAAACATAGATAAAATTGCACCCCTCCTTAATTACTGAATTTAGCAATTACTTGGCATCTAAAAGAAGGGCTCTAGCATGGTGATCTGGAACCCAGAAAGAAAATACTTAAAAATTAAAATGCTTTAAAGCAAATTATGCCCTAAAACTCTTCTCCAATAAGACAGGTATGGCCAAACAATATAGAGAAATCCATGTCTGGTTTAATGTTGGCAGTTTGATCCTGTATTTGGCATTCCAACTGGTTCCTATTTTGTTTTTAAAAACCACTTGCTCTGGCTACACCATCAAATCTGAACACAACTATTTTCTACATGTATTATTTGAGTTTCTTTTTTTTTTTTTTGCTGAGTTCAGCATGTATATTATAACTTATTGGTTATTTTCTTTTCTGGGAAAAAACCTGATTTCTTTTACAATGCCTCCTTTCTTCTGCTCTATCAATGCACAAACATGTATGCATCTTAAACATTCCCATTTCTTCATTTTTGCCATCTTCCCACCTTTATCATTCTGTTTTCTGGAACTACACCACCTTCCTTTGAATTCTATAAAACGCTTGCATGGTTATTTATCTTTTGTGGCTGTGTGACCAAGATAAGTTCAGTTTATTGAAACCAGATTCCATCCCACACTCCCTTTTCCCATATTTTATTAACCCAGATCTCCACTTTCTGCAGAAGTTCTCCACATGTACCCCTCTCTCCTGTGCTCTGTTTCTGGACTTTCTGGAAACCTATTTGTCTTCTGGGGGAGCCATAAAGATCAGGTTTCCATCATACATTAAGAAATGTCTATATAAGAACTCCTGGATTCCCATCAACCCCTCCAACAGCAAACCCAAGGTGTGAGCACCAAATGAGGCCACTGAAGATCAGGAAAAAGAGTCCCTGAGCTTTGTAGACATACCATTTCAAAACAAGAATGAAGGGGCCAGAATGAAAATGCGGGGAGAACCCAAAGAGGACTGACCATGCTCGGCTGTCACAGAACACTGTCACTGGGGAAAAGCCATAACTGGCAACTTGTGGGGTAGGGAAAAGGAGAGGTGAAATGGTTTGCTGGCGGAGGGTTTGTCTGGCTGGCGGACAGGCAAGGAATATTCCTTCAGAGAGATGTAAAGGCACTGCGACCAGTGGTGCAGTGGGAATAGTGCTCATCATGACACCCACTTATTATTATTATACACGATCTCAAGGAGAGCTCTGACATTGTGGGCAGCTGTGTTGATCCACAGCACCCATCCCGCCCTGGCCATTTTTATTCTTACTACAAGCAGGTTGTCTCTAATCTCTGCACTGCTGTTTCAAGAACAAGCCATCCAGAAGTACTTTGCATTATCACAGGAACAGACACAGCATGGCTGGTAAAAGTCATTTCTGTCCTGAGCCCAGGCAGTACAGGAGACTCTGAGGTGCGGAAGGGGTGGGGGGAGAGCAGATGGTGTCTATGACCCTGCTAACGGTGCGGGGAGGCACTCCTTCGCTCTGAGCCCTCACACCACTGCCTGCAACATTTTGCTGAAGGTCCCAGGTGCCAAGCTGCAGAGCAAATGCGCTTCAGCTAGGAGTGGGCAAAGCCTGAGCCATAACCCAAAGTCCCGCAGTGGAGCTTACTTTCGCTAAATGCAGTGATGGTCATCAGCTTGGATGGTTTTAAAAGGGGACTGGCTGCTAGTCCTGATGGCTATATACTGACTTCAGTCATGCAGAAGGCATGGCTGTGCTCACTGCTTGCTGGGAACTTGGGTCTGGAGAGGCTGCTGAACTCTTGCCCAGATTAGGGGCTTCTGACAGGCAGCGAGCGGAATGCTGAACTGGATGGACCCTGGGCACAATCCGGCATGGCTCCTGTGTTCCTAGAACCCTGGGGTTACAACATCCATTAAGCTGACAAGGCCTGATGGGAGCAGCAGCACTCCAAACCACCAGGGTGGGACTAACTCCCTTCTTGATGGCGTTTCTAAGTGTGCCTGTTAGACAGATCTATGCCTGTCACTCTTGATAGGGGAAAATTAATGTGGACAACATGACAGAGATGGCAAACCCACACATGCCCTACCCTATCCATATGGCGGCCTGACCTCCACTAACGGGAACAGCACGGGTGGTGCAATCCGCACACCCTCCACCCACACACCCCATTTGTCACAAAGCCACTAGCCATAATTTAGAAGCGTCCATGATGCATCCACCCCTGCAGGGATGCCTCCATTCGTGCAGAGGCTCCAGTTCTAGTGCATTCCTCGCACGCCAATTGTCAAGGGAAATCACAGCCCATGAATAACCTACTTGTTTCTGGGCAGTGTCCTATACTCTCCGCCAGCGCCTCTCCCCCAGTAGCTGTTTCGTCCTCCCTGGGAACCAACATTGTTGCTTTCACCCACAAAGATGGAATGAGTCACTTCCAGGCTGCAGCCTTCATCTATGGGGAAAGTTCCATCACTATAATTAGATAAATAGCAACTCGTTAGGCTGCAGGAAGGGAGTTCAAAGGTACTTCAAGAGCAGATAAATATAAAGAGCATATAAAGGGCAACTGCTGCTCCCATCCCCTCTGCCTATTGGCCATACAGGCTAGGACTGATGGGAGCTGGAGTCCAACACCAGCTTAAGGCTGTTGATCAGAGCCCTGATCAAGAGGTTGAACCCTGGTTCCTTGGGGACTTTTATTGTTCTGAGGCACCCAGGAAGACACCTTGTGCCAAGTCAGACTTCACAGTGCCAGCTACTCTGTCTGGCAGGTCCTCAGGCAGAGGGGGCTTTCTACCATCTGCCACTTGACTGCTTTCTCCTATTTTTTCTTGAAGAAGCAACACCCCAGACCTAAAGTGTGTGCTCCAGGAACTGAACCAAGGACTCTTTTGACCACACTTAAACTCTAGTTCCTCCTAGCAGAACGGGGTGGGGAACTTAAGGCCCCCTTTGGACTGCACCCTGATGGATTCACTGGGATTCACTGGGATTTTGCTGGGAAGCATTTGTTCTGCCCCACAGCAGCTTGGGAGCAAGAGGCAGCAAAGGCTGCCAAAAGAATCCCATGGGGATGCAGTCAGACCATGACCTGTGAACATCCCCCACCACACACACACACACACACTACAACAATTGCTCACGTTCATCTTCAGGATCGTAAATGGGACAAGTGCACATGATTTGCAAACTTCATTTGTGGGGAAACCATGGGGGAATCAGTAGGTTGGACTTGTGGGATCTGTCCAAGCCCGCCTCCCCCTCCCATAGCCCGGGTTTCCATCCTGTATGTTCTACTGAGACAGGAGGACTCACCTGGCCAGCGTGAGTCCAATCCCGTTGTCGGCAAATCTAAGAAGGAAGAAGCATACCAAAGAGAGTGTAAAGGTTAAGGGGCGAATGATGGTGACTTTCCCCTCCTCCTCCTCCTCTTCTCAGAGCCACCAGGAGCAAGAAGTAAAGTTTCGTGTTCATTTACCCACAGTTGCGGAAGACAATATCTCCTCCCCTTGCCCATGCTCCATGGTCATTATTTTTGAAAGCAATGAGGCCATCAATTACAGCAGGTGCCCGGGGCTTCCTGGGGTCTGCGTCCTGGTGTGGGCGGAACCTGGAGCAAAGAACTGAGTTAATCACCGTGACTGCAGCCGAATAGGGGAGCAATTTAAAGACAGCAGAGGCCTGTCAGTCACAAGCTCCCAAAGTCTTGATCTGAAACAAAGTCTTGGCATTTTCAGTACTTTTGGCCACATGAGTGCCAACTGGAAGACATTCAAAAATGCAAGCTCAGATGATGTGACTGCATGGAGCTGCAAGGCTAAAAATAGCAAGAGCTGGATATGAACAGTAGAAAGAAACATCTGCTCTATAAGCCCCAAGGAAAGGAGATGGCTCACCACTCTGGAAGGTGTTCCAGCAAAACCAGCACACGGCTCTCCCTTTCTCCTCCTACCCCTGATTTCTGGGGCCCGTGGAAACCCCAAATGTTCTGAACCTTCAGCCAATGGCTGTCACATCACTGCAATTGTCTACACCTGCTCTGTGTCAATTAGGGAAGGCAGAGAGATATGCTGAGTTTAGATTTTAAAGCCAGCGTTCCAGATTTGCACTTCCTGAAGCGGCAGTATTACAGGCATTATTCACACCTTCCAGAAGGTTTTAGTACAGTATCCAACTAAAATATGCCTGGAAAAGTGTGCACATTACAGACACATGCATTTTGAATGCTTTATTTTAAGGGGAAATCATTTACAAAAAATGTATTTTTCAAAAAGGGTCATGCAAAAAGACATACACATTGAGAAATGTGCACAAAATGTACACATTCTTGTACAGACTTTTAAAAAGCTCATCCAAAAAGCAAATGAAACAGAAAAAAAGAGAAACTTGGCAAAATCAAGCTGGACAGATTTATTCAACCCTACTGCTTATGCACAAGTTTCATTGGTGGTGCTACATTTCCAATCGATTATCGATACATGCAGACAACCACTTCAGGGTTCAGTCACACAAAAAGGCTGGGAAAGATTCCTGCAAGGTCAATATCTGAACACACGTTTTAGAAAATTCACCAGAAGTAACATGTAAACCAAGTGCCACCACGTGAAGCATGTCAGGTGGTTTCTTGCAAAGAACTCATCCTTACTGTTTTCTAGGATCATCAAAAAAATCCAGGAACTGCTTTAAGCTTCACTTCCTGACTTCACTGGCAGGTATCTATTTCAGCAAAAGATTTTATATGTGTTTCTGCCATTAACCCTGCAGCCTGTCAAGGAATCTGAGGTGGCAGACACAATGTACCCATTTTATCTTCACAACTACTGTGTAGTGTAGAGCAGACAGAAAAACAAAGCCACAAATTTGGGTAGGAAGACCTTGGTTACGGCTGAGCAGAGACTTAAACCTTGCTCTCTCCAGTCCTAGTTTGCCACTGTAAGGGTAAAATCCTGGGCACGTTTGGAAAGGAAAAAAGATCCCACAATTCCCAGCATTCACTTAGCATGCTGTCTTGTAAATGCTGGGAATCGCGGGACTTTTCCTTGCGTAGGATTGCACTTTAATCTGCCCTTTCCCAACCTGGTGCTCGCCAGAGATGCTGGACTGTAATTCCTATCATGCTGAGTCAGCATAGCTATTGCATAAAGCTGCTCTAACCACTGCATAACACTGCCTTGTGGCCTCAGAGTCACCTTTAAAGCTGGACCTCCGGATGCACCAGAGGTCCCCCTAATGCAATGAAGAGAAATAAAACCAAACAAACCACCCACAGCAGTGTCACATTCTGTTTACATACCTGGCATTATCCACAGTCAGATATTCTCGAGGATTTTCAGCACTGGCTTTCGATGTCTTGACCCCTTTCCCAAGAAACAAGCCAGCCTGGAAAAATTATATACATATATATATGTGTGTGTGTGTACACATATAAATCACCACCTGAGTTCAGTTAGTTTTTAACAAGCAAACTGTACTGCACTTAGTAAGAAGAAGAAAGGGGAAAGTGAGAAGGATTTTGCAAAGGGAAGTAAGCATCAGCTGGGGAGTTCTTGGCATCGCAAACAAAGGAAATTCGACTAGTCAGGGGTGAGCAAGCCTGTGGCACTCCAGATATCAGCATAAACAAGACTAGCCTTTTTGGCTCATGGGGCAGGATATGTATTTAAGAAATAACAACAACTGCAAGGAGAGTTGTGCCAGACCAGATCAAAGACAGTTACTACATTTATGTCTCACCTTTCCCCCAAACTTGTAGAGGACCGGAGGTAGCTTACATGAACCCCTTCCTCTCCTTTTTACCCTCACAACAACCCAGTGAGGACAGACTGGCTCAAAGTCACTGCTGAGTAACTCCCAAGACTCACCACAACACTCTGAACGCCACCCCAAAATGCTCAGTTGTCACAGAGGTCAATGAGCTGCGCACAGGAAGCCACCCAGTGGGACATGAGCACATGTAGTTCTTGAACTACAACCCCCAGCAGATCAACCAAAGGCCAGGCTGGGGTTGATGGGAAGTGGAGTCCAGTCACATCTGGCGGCTGGCAGGTTGGCCGGCCATGAGCAACCATTAAGCATGCTTGGTCTGGTTTCAGCTGTTGCACAACAGCTCAGATGATGGACATGGCAGGCTGCTGGTACGTTTGCTGTGCTGACTGGCAAAATTCTCTGGATGGGATAACGTCGTCTTCACATTTTGGTCCTCATTGCTTGTGCCTGTGGCTTTCCTAAGAGGAAAGCTCTTGTTCTAGGACCCAGATAGCCTTGATCAGAAGCTTCTCAGGGCAGGGGAGTGTCAAGGGGCCAGAAAAATGGGCAGCAGAAAGACAGGGGCTCCGTTGTTGCTGTTCTGTGTGAACTTGGAAGCTCCCCCACCAGACAATGGAGCCCAGGTACTCTAATATTTCTTATCTCTCTAACTCAACCTGTTTTGGTATTTTGTAAGCCCTGGAGGCTCAAAGATCCTTGCTGGCCCACTGTGAATTCTGTTAGAATTTTATTTTTACTTATAAACTGCATAGCTAAGGTATCCCCCATGCATGGGGAAAGACATGAACTTATATTCTATGTGGCCCAATTTCATTTCCAAACTTGGCCTCCCCCACTTGGAATTAGAAGGGAGGAGCTGAAGAGCTGAAGAGGAGGAGCAAAACTGGAGGCAGCTGTTCTTTTTATGGGGAAGTCACTGAGCATGTGTGTGCATGTGTCGCACATGCATGCACACAGATGGTACTATGAATAATACAAAATATTTACAAAAGCAGAATACGGCAGCTTTGCTGCAACATGCTATGGGATTTCTATCAGGGGTCATGGCCGACCCTGGCTAGCTGCTCACCTCCTGGAGAAATTCAGAGCAGGAAGATGTTCCAAGGAAATGAGAGCCAGAAGCACCAGACTAAATCAAGGTTCAATACTAGGGTGACCATGTGCCCTAATTTTCAGAGGACAGTCCTCTACTTGGATGCTTACAGGATGAAAAGGGGGCAGAGGGACTTGGAAGCTGCTTATCTACCATTAGCACTGGGACAGGGCATGTCACCTCATCACAGATATGGCCAGGTATTTAAATGAGAGCCATTCCTCCCAAATTGACATAACTAGAACTATAGCTAACTATAAATTATATGCAAATGTTGTGCTTTTGCTCTGCTTTGGTGAGACATTTTCTCTTATTTTAATGGTCAATTAGTGGTCACTCTGCAGGGCTTGAAAAGGGCAGCGGGCAAATGGAAGCAGCAGGGTTGGGGAAACAGAAGTGCAACTCTGGGATGGAGACGGCTGAGAGGGACGATTAGAAAAGAAGTTGGCCAGAGCCAGGAGCTGGAAAAAGAAAGTAAGTGAAACAATGGGCAGAGGAGAGCTGAGTTGATCCAAAATAAAGCTCCGTCTGAAGGACAGATGCTAAATAGTTCAACGAAGTCTGTACATGCCTTAAAGTTAGAGTGGGCTCTGTTGTTGTAAAATGTGCCCAGAGGAGTCAATTCAGATTGCCCAGTTGGATACTGTCCTTCAGACTGTCCAGTGGGAACCCGGTGGAAAATATACCATATTCCAACATCCTGGAGAAAAACCAAAGCAAGGACGATCAGACAGATGTGGCAGAGAAATCATCAGATGCTAGATTCTGCTTGCTGAGGCAAACAAAGGTGATGGAACTTGACTTCAAAGGCATGTTTTAAAAAACCACTAATACACACATTTGGATAATTTTTTTTTGTCTTGCTACTAGTCCCTCTCAAAGTACCCTGAAGAGATGCATAAATGACAAGATGTGAAATTGATTACAACTGCCACAACTTCCTTGTAAAAGAATACATTCGGTTGTGACTCATCAACTCAAGTGCAAGCACTGACTCATGTCCTACCAGGGCCCCAATTAAACTCTTCCTTTTGCCATTTTATGAAACTGTAGAAAATGGAAGAAGCAGCAGTTCTAGAGAGAAATCCATTCAGTTTTGCTTAATTGCATATGAACCAAACTGCAAGGCAAAATTCACTGATCCTTCAAAATGTGCATTTCTGCACATTGCATTGTGACATTTTTCAATCAAACACTGTGTCCAAGATGGAGTATACTAAGAAGGGTGCATGCAGAACAGTATTTCCTTGTGAAAGGAACATTAAAATTGCATTAAATTTGGACTATTACTTGCAAAGATGGAAAATTAAAAATAAGTAAAACTGCATTAAAAGAGTATATATAATTATCCAAAATGCACACCAAAAGGCAAATAAATGTTCATGAAAACTTTTTAGAAATCTTAAAGTTTAGGATGAATCAGGCTCAGTATTGGCAAAATAAGAAACAAAAGCTGACAGATACATTCTTCCCTAATAGAGGCAGCTAGAGAGAGAAGGAGGGCAATTCTATCACCTCTGCTGAGACAACAGCTGCCTTTGGCTTTCCAGAAACTCAAATTGCAGCAGACTTTTTGGATTAAGTATGGGATTTAAAAGGCTATATCAAATACTGGCAACTCATAAGTGGATAGAAATCTGTGTCAGGGATCAGTGCTAGCTCCAGGTTTTTGGAGGCCCTTGGGAAATGGGTCCATTTCTCAGTGAGCTTACCTTCTTACCCCCACTGTCCTTAGCTGCTCTTGCTCCTTCTTTTCTTTCTTCATCATTGCTACTACTTGCCTGCTTGATGGGCAGACAGCCAGGGAGCAAGCAGGCACTGTCTCCTCCCACCCCTCTTGCACACTGCCTCCATGGCAAGAAACAGGGGAACAAACAGGCTGCAATGGCGAAGAGGAATAGCAAATCCGGGGGAACCTCAGCAGTAGGCCCCTGCTAGGGAATGTTCCATTAGCAGTTGCCCAACCAGGCTCAGCTTCCATGGAAATCCTGTTTTGAACAGCCAATCAGCCAGTATCCTATCCAACAATTTAGGGGGAAATTGGACTACTACCTTTCCAATTTTATATGCAAGATTGACAATGGAATGACTGACAAGAGCTTGATGTTCATATATACTAAGCAAATACTGTACATGCAACATATGTAACATTAAATGCAGATAGACCCATTCTGTTGCTGTAATTTCAATTACCTTGCCACACTCTGCTCATGTACGCAAAATTCAAGGCAAGAGGCCTGTGGCAAGTTCTCAACACCTGGACAAAAGTGACACAACATGCAGAGTTCTGCTTGGGAACACACTGTGGAGGGCTTCCACCTACTCCTCTTCAGAGGTTGTGGAGCAGCCAGAATCTACTGCTGAAATGCCAAGGTCAACAGATCCAGAGGAAAGCCAGGCAGCTTCAGATTCAGTGGGGAAGTTTAGTGAGAAGGGACAGGCCTAACATCACTAATTCCAGGATACAGTGTAAGGTTAAGAGCGTGGACCAGCTGGAAAGCACCAGATGCTTCAAATAACCGGTCCTAAAACAAAAGGACCCACTTTAAATGGTTTGCTTTTTCAGTTGGGAAAGGAGGAGAGGTATTTGGGTTGGAAAAAACTCCTCTCATTAAGCCACATTTCCCTAATGGCCACTACTCTAAATTTGCTTGTGACTTTTGTTCCTGACTTCTACAATACTCTTCTATTGTACTACAATGCCAGCCTATTAACATAAAAGACTTCTAGGTAAAGGCTTTTTTCAGGTCTGCTTGGAAGGAGAATGAGAAGACTGGGCAGGACAGAACCAGGGTAAGGAACAACACTGGAGCCTCTAATGTTGGTAGGTGCCCAAACCGTCCAGTTACCTGTGCGCCAGCAGCTGCATTCTCTATCAGATTGTTGTTGGGGTTAGCAATCCAGAAGGAGCTGACAGCCCTGAAGAAGAAAATAAGACGACTTTTAGATTCATTTAAGCCACTAAGTGGGAAGAAAGCAAAATGTTATGGCATTGTACTGCTTGGAGTTTAGCCATGATACTGCCATAAAGTTTTAAAACTCCACATAAGCCAATAAATGACACCCTTTATGTCGGGTTAGATGCCTTCAGTGATGTCAAGCATTTCATGGAACCTCATGCAAGCCATGTTGTAAATTGTAATTAATGAAGCATTAGCATAAAAGCTGGACTCTACTGAACAAACAAAAATCTATTAAAAAACTGATGTTCTCTCCTCCTCCTCTGATCTTTGAACCTAAAACGGTTGGAGCTGTTGATGGCAGTCTATCAAGCTGGGACATAGTGGTGCAGCTGAAGCAGAAGCAGCCAAACATCCTGAAGTTCAAGGTGGAAAATCCAGACAGAATTATGTCATATTCACTCCCTCTCTCTCTCTCACATACACACACTAACACAATCCATCATATGTCCTCTGTGCAAGTTGTCTCAGCTGCTATTCCCTGGTATATTGCATCACTCAAGCCACATGTGTAGCTCCAACTCTGCCACCCTTGATGGACCACAGAATCTGCCACTGAGCTGGCCAAGGGCCATAGCTAAGGGGCAGCATGCACGTTTGCATACAGAAGTCCCCATGTTTGACCCTGGCACCTGCTAATACGGCTAGGAAAGACCCCTGCCTGAAGGAGGCTCTCCACCCCTGCGTGGGTCCAGAATCTAATGTTAGAGCAGCTCTCGTGGTGGGGAAGGTAGATTCCACTGGTGGGCAAGACCCAATACCAAAGGGCAAAAGTACCACCATATTGTAGCTTAAATCGCCTTTTGCCCATTCTTAGGAAAGGGATGCCAGCCTTTTAGAATGGGAGGGAAATGCACATAAAAGAAAAATTCAAAAACCACCGAACAATCAGTAAGATCTAGTTGCTGCTCCTCACTTGGTTATAAAACTCACTGAGTGACTTTGGTTTAGCTGCTGGACAGAAGAAGGGCTATGCAGGCTGCCTTGGATTCCTAGCAAGCGGGGAAGGGATGATATACATTTTATTTATTTATTTATTTATTTATTTATTTATTTATTTATTTATTTATTTATTAAAACATTTTTATGCTGCCCCATTTGCCAAAGCCTCGGGGCAGCTTACAACATACAGAGTCCGCCAAAAAAATGAGTACCTGTGAAGCAATCTCAATAGACACTTTGAGCACTTTGGCTAATGGCCACCACTTTGAGCAACTCTTGTAATTGTAGAGGCCAAAGGTAACTTGCATTAATCTCATGATGCCTCAATAAATTTAGTATTAAAATATTTATACATGTTTTTCTTTTCCTGAAGTGTGTATACATTTTTGGCAGACTCTGTATAATTCCTACATCATAATCAATCATAAATGGCTATCTAGGAAAGTACACTAGGGGCAGATTAGTCTCTCTCCCGGCCTAAATTGCCACCCTTGAGTGGAGAGGCTGACATAGTGTGTCAGCTTCTGTGACTTCATGGCAGGGAAGCCTTCTGGCATGGCACAGGCAGAGGGGACTAGGCTGGACCCAGGGCAGAGGGAGGCAAAGTCCACCGGCAAACGGAGAGGCACGACTGAGCAACAGCCGCAAAGACGTAGACAGGAGCTGCCGGCGGCCCAGCAGCAACCTGCTCCTGCAGGCTTGCTCCTGGAAGCAAAGAAGGAATGGCAACGTGCCAGGTGTGCCTGCATTCCTGGGCAGGGCAGAGAGATTATTCTAGATGCTACAAGAACAGATGTTGCTGCCAATCCGTCTAGCCCAGTCTGCTCCAGCCTTGCCCAGATGGCTTGAATGACAACTCCCATCAGCCCCATGCGGTGGCATGGCCAATTTACAGAAAGGATTAAAGTTCTAACCCCAAAAATCTAGATGGCATCAGGTCAGGGAAAGCTGCTGTGTTCTGACCTGGTTCTGACCCATCCCATCCAAGGCTTCAGAAAGCAGTTTTCTCTGGCCTTGGTAGCCAAGAACATTGCTGCTGGAGACTCCGGGAACTGAACCAGGGACCCTCAGCTCAACTGCCAGAATGATAGGCCTTCCCTAAGAGACCAAAAGCACATCAGGGAATGCTTGGAAGCATGTTTTAAGTGGTTTTGCAAGCCATGCTTTGAGGTAGCAACTCTGATCTCATGGCTGATGCCAACAAGAGAAAGACAAGGAGCAGCACTGGCTCCAGAAAGCAGAGACCTGACTGGCAAGCCCCGGCTGGCAGGAAGCCACTGCTACGTCTGCACTGGACTCTTGCCTTGCATCAGACTAGCTAGCCCTGAAGAAATCTTTTGCTGAAAGCTCAGAACCTGCAGAAACAATAGGCAAGACATCCTCTGCAGAAGGCAGGCACGACCTCAGCTTGAAGAAGAGGCTCCAAGTCTAACTTACAGTGCATATGTCAGAATGAGCAGTTAGTCATGACTGCCAGTTTGATAAGCCCTCCATATTAATAGCAAGGACTCATACTAAAAAGACAGTGCTATGTTACATAGGAAACTATACATAGCCATGTCTGCCAGGGTGACTTTGCAGTCAGCCATGCTGCCACCTCATCTGCTGATTGTAACAGAGGCTAATCAGCGCTGAACTGCTTTTGCTTTGGATATCCCTAGGAACAAATTCCCAGAATGCACATGCTGCAGGAGGACCACGAATGTGGCCTGTCCATACAGTACAGCAGCCTGTCCCAGCCTGGTGTTCTCCACATGTCCTGGACTCTGGATCACAACAGTGAGGAATGCTGGGAGTTGGGAAACATCTGGAGGTTAGGGGAGGGTGAATTAAGGGATCCTGCAAGCCCAAACACCCAGCTGTGGAGCAACTGTCCCATGCGCTCTGCAGGAGTGTCAGGTCTTCACCCTGGGGGCGAGAAGCCTGGTGCTGAGTGCATTGTTTTTAAATCACACATGCAGTGCAAAGGTTCATTTTGATGTGTGTCTGTACAGAGGGATGTTTGGGTCTTTTTCCTTGGGGACTCCATGCAACAGCTAGCACAGAGATCTTCGTTAAATTTTGTTCTGCCAGCATGTTCCTTTCTCATATACAATTGACTGATATTCAGCCTCATGAGACATATGCTAGAACTTGGTCATCCCATGTAAGGAAGTTCACCACCACCACCACCACCACATGTATGTCCCATCTTCCTCATGTGAGGAACCCCAGACTGCTTATATCATCCCCCTCCTCTTCTCTGTTTGATCCTCTTAGCAACAATCCTGCAAGGTATGTTAGAATCAGTGACTGGTCCAAAGACACCCAATGAGCTTCATGGCCAAGCAGGTACTAGAACCCAGGTCTCCAGACTCCTAGTCCAGCCTTCTAACCCCTGTGCAATGCTGGCTCTCTCTTAGTACATTCAGAGGTAGGCTCCGATATGCCCTTTAATTTCATTAAAATATACATAAATTGGATGCACAATCACTGATCATTTGCTTTGGCTGGGAGTTCTGTGTCCATTGCATTACTTTAAAAGGTAAAGGTAAAGGGTTCCCCTTGACGTTACATCCAGTCATGCCTGACTCTCGGGGGCGGTGCTCATCTCCGTTTTCTAGCCGAGGGAGCCAGCGTTTGTCTGCAGACAGTCTCCGTGGTCATGTGGCCGGCATGACTACACACCGAACTTCACGGAACACTGTTACCTGCCCACAAAGTGGTGCCTTTTTACCTACTTGCATTTGCATGCTTTCGAACTGCAAGGTTGGCAGGAGCTGGGATGGAGCAACGGGAACTCACCCCGTTGTGCAGATTCGAACTGGCGACCTTTTGATCAACCAGCCCAGCAGCACAGCGGTTTAAACCACTGCCTCGGTTTATTCAAGGGATGATATATGTTACTCCTACTTAGAGTAGACACATGGACTGCAACAGGACTCAGTGAAAGTAACATTGGCTAAATGAGCAGCTGATCTGTGAATGAACCAATGTATCATTGCACATGGGGCACCTTGTTTACAGCATCTGTTCAAAGTCTGCACTTGAGATTCATTGTCCATTTCTTGGACTGTTATAGTTCAACTTGCTCAAACAGTTTTCCTCCCACAGAGCTTGACACCAGCTGGGCTCAGATAACACAATAACCCCTCTCAAGTTGGGTAGGGGCTGTTCTTGAAATATAGGTTATTGTATTGTTAACCCATGGCTTGTTACCTGCAAACAACCCAGGAAAGGAACCCATGATTTGTTGTTGAGTTGTGAACTCTGGGTTGTTCACCATGGTTTGTTATCTCAGCTGGGTTCAGACAATGTACACCACATAATTCACGGTTCAGAGATAGTCCATATTCAAATCTGTGTTCAGGCTACATGAAAACCCACACTCGGGAACATAGTATAAGTTGAGGGGGGGTTCTTACTGCACTATGGGTTACAGAGAGAAGGGGTAGGGTTAGGATCAGCCCGCTCCCTCCCGAAAGAACATTGTGCAAAAGAACGATTCAAGTAGAAAGAATTCCCCACTGCAGTCATGGAGGGTCTGCATGAATGGGAAAGCCCAGGCGGGGCCAGGAACCAAAAAGCCATTTTATACTTACATGCAGTCCGTGCCAGGTACAGGGATGTAGTCGCCATGGACATTCTCGCGCAGGGCGAGGCACATCGCTTCGTTGCGGTCTGTGGGCAAGATGGTGCCTGCCTTGGTGAGAAGCCCCAAATTGTGATGAAATGTATTCCGCTGCTCCGTCCCATCTTCAAGGAAAAAACAGTGCCCCAGTGTGTCGTAGCCAATAGTATCTTTCACCTAAGACAGGCCCGCACATATGGAGGAGGAGGAGAAAGGAGGAGGAGGAGATCATTGTAAACAGAGAAGCACTACTATTCCAAGCAATGACTGCAAGCAGATGTCCTCACAGACCTTCCTCTGTCCCTTGATAAATATCCCAAGCTCAACCTTGAACTTTCAGTGTGTGGAGGGTTTTCATATTCTAACCGAACTCCCCTCTCTCTCTCTCTCTCTCTCTTTCTCTCATCAAAATCTGCGCTTCGGTCTTCTTTACCACCACTGGGTTGTTTCGCTGGCCTCCTCTTCAGACTCTGCTGAAGTAGGAAGTTTTTTCTCTCCCCAGCGCTTAGCCCAAATGATGCTGAACAATGAGCTCTGCCTTCACTCTGACTTGGCTTCAGAATTCCAGGAAGGCACAGTGGGGTGGGGTTGAGGAGAGTGAACAGATGCAGCAGCAGACTGACCTCCAAAAGATGCTTCAATTCTTTTTTGAAGAAACTTTTGCAGTGGTGTGTGGGGCGGCGGGGGCGGGTTGCCATTTCAGGTAGCAAAATCTCTTGGACTGGCTTTCTCAGCAGTCATTATGTAACTGGGAGTACAGAGCCTCAAGTCCTGTTAAGGGCTCAATCTAACCTTCCTGGAGTTTCCCAGATGGCTGTGCCCCCTTCCCTTCTCCTGGCTGTAAAATGATTTCTCCAGCCACCGCCGATCGTTTGGTTTCCCAGCTTCGGTGCAGTTCCTTACCTTGCTCTAAAAGAGGGAATGCCTCTTCTATGGCTTAGCTACTAGCAGCAGAACCTCCAGCCAAAATATGCTAAGTCTGGGAACCACCCTTTTGTTTGGATATTTTGGGAACCACCCTTTTTATTTCTGGCTCTGCTCTCACTTGGAGCACAGCTTGCACCCCACTCCAAGCTCCTCTGAACTGGATTTGGCCTTCAGGTTGAAAGAGGCTCAGCACCCCTGATATACCCAGACCTCACTTGCGATGGACTAAATCTGGCAATCCATTAAATGTATCAGTCACTTTGTGTGACTGATTCAGAACAACAGATCTGGAGCAGCCCCAACCAAGATTAGGACTATACCTCACCAAGCAGGGAGTGCACCCCTTCATCCCATGCTGCAGCCCTGAGAAAAATCTACCAGAAACTGCTATTACCCCATGAGGAGACGAGTATTTTGAGGCGGGCGATTCATTTGGGACACATGAATTTTCATGCATCACAGTTGCTCTTTAAACAAAATGCAGACAATAAGTTGGACACAAGCAGCAAATGCATTACTTGTGCCTATATACAGAATTAGTGTATTTGGAATTACTGCAAATTTGCCTTTTCGGCCTAATGTATGGTTGCACACTGAAATCACACTGTCAAGCCGTAGTTCCTGCCCCTGCCCGACAGCTCCATCCTCCAAGGATTTCGGAGCGAATTATTGTGCAGCAAAAAATATTTCGATCCTGTAAGGTAGGTTAGGCTGAAGGATGGCAACTGGTCCAGAAATCCCCCAGGATGCCTTGGGGCAGAGGAGCAATGCAATCCCGGAGCACATATTCCACCTACTCTGCCACAGAGCCTTTATCGATGCCACTGGAGAAGAAGCGTGTGGCATTTAATTTTAGCCTTGAAAACAGACCTGTTTGTGTTAAGGCCGGTTCTGAGCTGACTTAGGACCCCTCCTTGCTGTGCACCCTTCCAGCATGCCACGTGCACATTTTGGACAATAGGCCTGGATGATACACTCCAAAAACATTTCGTCTAAATCAATCCAGCCCCACGTTGCGTGCCAAAGCTAACCGTGACTGAACATCCTGGAATAGCCAGCAACACGTGTTGGGGAGAGCATGAAGGTCACTGATGTTCTTTCTGAGCTATATATACACGTTTGCTATTTGGAACCATCCCAAATAAGCTCATATTTAAAAGCCTAGATGGGACCTGGATTGCTATAGGAAAGAGGTTGGCCACTTTTGTTTTTTCCAACACCCTACAAATCGACACTGCAGGTTTGGCTAGCTGAGCACAACTGACTGAACTGTTGCCCCTGTTTAGGCCCCTTCCGTTTAACTGGTGGAACAAACCCAACATCTTTTTTATTAAGAGGGACACTGAAGCCACCTGCCCACCCCTCCTCTGGCTTCCCTGTTCCCCCTAAGCTTCAGCTCAAGCTTCACACTGGCTGACCCTTCGCAGACAACACTAACCCTAACGCACACTCAGTGCCTTCTCTCCCCTGTTCCACTGGCCAGCCTGGCTGGTGGCAGCAGCCGGGGCCGGGCTCTCCGAGGGCAGCTGCGGCCAACACTGGCACATGGAGGAAGAGGAAGAGGAGGAGGGCCTCCTGGCCCAGAGGACGTCTGGGGCCTATTTAAAGACCTGCCACGAGGGCGCTGCCCTTGGGCGGCTGCAAAAGCCCCTGATGGCTACTTGTTGGCCACCAGGGCGGCATGGGTGGGGGACTCACGTCTGGGGGTGCTGGGCCCGGCTTTAATTGGGCCCAATAGCCAGTAGACAGAATCCAGTCATGCCCACATTTTATTGGGATATTGGTTGCGCCTGGGGTGTCCCTATAAAGCTGATTACAGGTAGGAGGAGGTATGGTGCTGGGAGGGTGACATGCCAACAAAGAGAAAGAGGGGCAGATGTTTGATGGCTGTCCCTTCTCCTGGTCACCCTCCAGTCCTGCCAACCCCTGGCAGCCTTATCAACCTGCCCTCAGGTATGCTGGTGCCACTGCTGAAAGCCAAGTCGGCCCAAAATAAAACCTCTCCCATCCATGCTTTGATCATGGATGAGGGGGCCATAGAATGGCTTGTCGATACAAAGCAACACAGCTGCCTGGATTTCTGCATTGTTCTGGGAGGGTGGCTCCGAACACGGTCAGGATGAGCGCCTGCCCTTCACAATTTGCCACTATGTCCCTTATTTTAACCACCCGCTTTCCATGCAGAATGCAGTGTCAATTTATGCTGTCAGTGTAAATATATATTGTTTTCAGATAATGCTACAGCCCTTTTAGGAACATCCATCAGAAGCACTTCATCTATACAATGATGTAACCTAACCCTAACCCTTGGCTTTTCATTTAAAAAATTACCCTACTGTACATTTGTAGAAAATACATTTCTAGCTATCATTATCAGAACATTGCAAAACTACATTGCCTGCTACAAACAGAACAATAAACTCAACCGCTCTGGAGTATAAAACTCAAAAGAACTCAATGAATTCAACAAACCCCAGGAACATTTGTGATCCAAAACACCCCATGTCTGCTATGTGCTCACTCAAGTGGAGTGAGAAAGGGGGAAGAGCTACAACAGTGAGCAGCTACAACAGCAGTGCTAGGAGCCTCTGAGGACTGCCAGTGAGCCCCCTTTAGGGGTACAGGCCTTGACTACTGCCCAACAGTCCTGACTCTTGGTGCCCTGGGCATGGACTGAAAACCACTCTTTGAGCATTCTGATTAACCTTAGTATCAGCAGAGAGCACAAAGCAAACTCCTACCAAAAGTCCATTGGCTCCATGGATGGCAACACACCTCGAGAAGCAGTGATGGATAGCCAGGTTGTCCAGGTAGGATGGTGGGCTATAGCCTCCTCTCTCATCCACGTCTCCCGTCAGATGGAAATGCACAGAGTAACTGCCCAGTATTTGCTGGCCCATGTGTTTCAACTCCACCCCTGCCATGTGGACGGAGGTAAAATTCTTCTGGATCTATTCAAACCAACAGAAAGAAAAGGATATGTTGTGAGCCGCCCCGAGGCTACGGCAAGGGGCGGCATAGAAATGTTTTAATAAATAAATAAAAATAAATAAATACGTTTTGTCCTTGAACATGTGCATTTGTGCAGAGGCATCTTGCATGAAGACACTTCGAGAGACACAGAAGGCAATGGCTTATGTGACACAAGCCAGAGAAAGCAAGCCATTTCAGCTGGAGGTGGACCCAATCCAGCTAGATGGGGCAGGTAAGGAGAGTTCCAGGTGCAGTTGAGCGCAGCACCAAAGGAACTGGCAGCTTTGCTCTGGAGGTGTAAACAGGATCTCAGCTCTAGCACAGCAGCTCCTGCAGCTCACAGGCCAAATTCCATTTGGGGAAGCTCCTGGGGTTTGCCCCCTGATGGAGGGTGGAGCCAAAAGGTAAAGGGGGCAGGGCCTAAAACCCCCAAATAACAATGTACTGCCAGCAACGGAGCTTTAGGAAAAGCTTTTTAGAGAGTGGGGTGTGGGGGAGGAAGAATCCTTCAGGGAAGCCAGGAGCTGGACTGGGACCCCCAGAGGGACTGCTTCGGCCTCCGGCTTCGTGCTTCCCATCGGCCCAGCTGCACAGGCTGAGGCTGCCAGGCTCGTTACGTTTGGTCGCAGTGCTGGTGAGATGTTGCATCTCCCATCATCCCCTCAGCTTGGTCACTAACCACACTGACTGGGGATAATGGGAACTGTAACCCTAGACTACTACTACTACTAATCCTTTTTTAAAGGGCTAGGAGATTTAGATTCCCCAGATTTGGGAGTGGATTTGGGGTATGAGCCACTGAAGCATACTTACTTTAATCTGCCCTCCAAACGTATCAAAGCTGAAAAATTGGCAGTGGTTTGGCCCATAACAAGAGTCCTCCATCTCTCCTTGAATCAGTATATTTCGTGTCAGGATGCCAACTTCTGCTCTCATGTCTACACCATCAACAATCTCGCCCATGTGAAGGTAAAGTGGATTTCCTGGCCAAAACAAAGAAAATGCACAATGGTTCCTTCACCCTTGTTAACTGTGTGTGTGTGTGTGTGTGTGTGTGTGTGTGTGTTTCAATTACAAACATAAACATTTAATAAAATTGAATTGTCCTCTTCTTCATGTCCCACCTACCCTTCCTTGACCCCTGTATCATGACTACCCAAAAATTACCTCAGCTACGTATTTGTTTTACTGTAGGTTGTTTTTATTATTGTTAGTTTATATAATATTATAATCCACTTGGAAAGTCTTCAGACTAGTATATTGGAATATGTTGAGTAAATAAATAAAGTATAATCAATTATATCAACCTTGTGGAACTGGTCACTGCAAAAGGGAGAAAATGAAGAGCCAACAGACAACCCTGAGGGAAGAAAGAATGAACTCGAAGACTACAGTATGTGACCAATGCTGTTTCCAAGACGGCCCAAAGTGGGGAAACCAATCCCATGCTCCTCAGCTCAAGCTGATCCCACTTTTTCGAGCCCCTCTCAGTTTTTCCACTGACAAGTCAGGAGCGAGGCTCCTACCATCGATCTTCACTTGATTACTTTGGCACTCCGAGCAGGGCAGCAAGCGAAACGCTTCCGCTTGGTGCATGGAATAGTCAGTGCTGGCAATTACGATCTCCTCTCCAGGCAACCAACTTGTCACTTCATCCACCAAATCCAAAATTATGCCCTCAGACATCTCCACCTTAAATCCATGATGGGGCACTCCTGGAGGGAGGGGGGAGAGTGATCGACAAAGTGATCAGATATATGCCATAATGATAATTACACTGCATCTACATCTTACTTTTTTCCTCTTGCAAGGATCCCAAAGCAACTTGCATGCACCCCTCCACCCCATTTTATCCCCCCCCCCAACAGCCCTGTGAGGTGGGTTAGGCTGGGAGTCCCTGGCTGGTCCAAAGGCACCCAGAGAGCTTCATGACTGAATGGGGGCTCGAACTGGGATCCCCCAAGGCCCAGTCCAATGCTCTTGCTGCTGCACCTCCAGGCCAGAAGCGGTGGCCCGGCTGCTTTGCACGCCTGGGGTTTGTTCCAGCAGCAGTCCCTCCTTGCTCCAGTTAAAAAATGTGGGCAGAAGGCAGGGAGAAGGAGCCTCCTCTGTCTAGGCAAGAGGAGGAGGTGTTGGCTCTGCTGAACTGGCACTCTTTGTCTTCTTCTGCCCTTGCCTTTCAGAGTCTTTTGCGCAGTTAGGAGGAGGTGGTCAAAATTGCCCAGTGGAAGAGTCCTGTATTGGCACCTGTGGATGGTTCACCACCGTTTGTTATCTCGGCTGGCTTCAGAATCTGGTACAGCAACCCACATTTAACCCTTACTCAACCCTCCAGTGTGTGTTATCATCTTGCCTGAACCCAGTGGCTAGCTGTGGGGAGAGGCACGCAGGTTGAATTCTTCCAGCAATACATCCTGACTTTCTGTAGTGCAAAGTATTTTGGAGTGACCTGATCTTGAATGGGGAAAAGGGGACCATTCCATCTATAAAGATCTGCCCCCGGCAGAGATGAAAATTGCTGGGACTTGTCTGCAGACACTTCTGCACAGGGCTTCCCGTGGGAGGTGGGGCAGACACCACACATCCCCAAACTTCGATCCAGCACCACAGAACCCGAAACCAGTTAAGGGTCATTGGAAAATCTCACACAGGCCTCTCCCTAAAATGACAGCATATAAAATAATTAAAAATTTGGTGCTCCTGTCATGACACCCCAATTCACAGTGGATTTTACTGCATATAAATCTGGGCGTTGACTATTCTACTGGAGAACCGAGAGCAACTGGAGCCCAGCCAGATTGGCAAAGGCCTATCGGTTTCTCATCCCTACATTACAGCTTGCTAGCGGGGGTTTTAAAAGTAGGGATAGGCTGCCTGTGCTTTGGCCTGCAACTCCCATCATCTCCTACCAAGGCTGATGGTTGCTGGAGTAGCACGCTAAAACCTCTGGAGGGATACAGTATGCTCTCACCCTTGCATTAGAGATGAGGAATGTGTGGATGTTGCTGGACCACAACCCCCAAGAATCCTCAGCATTGGCTAGGTTGGCTGGGGCTTATGGGAGTGGCAGGTTACAGGTTATTATTATGGAGGGCCACATTCCTCCCCACAGATTCTGTGAGTGGGGTGGAGCGTCTGAGCTGCCTGCACTTATACCAACCTTCCCCAACTGGTGCCCGATGGAGGTTTTGGATTACAGCTCCCATAAGCCTCATCCAGACAGTCTGGAGGGCACCAAGTTCTAGAAAGCAGCTTATATTCCTCTTCTAGCAGGCTTCCAAGAAAGAAGGGTTTAAACATTAACTCAGAAGAATAGTAACAAGGAAAAATGAAAGTGATTGCAAGCAAGCAAGCAAGCAAAACTGATTAAGTTTGCTATCAAAAGGATTGCATTAAATCCAAAGCTACTCTAGTCAATTATCAATTGTAAAATGTTGTCAGGTAACAGCCTTACGCCACTGCCATTCAGGAGATCAAACAGTTTCTCCTTGGCTTTGATCTTGGGGCAGGGGTGGAAAAGGCCCCAGAAGGCAAGGTTCTAATTTTATAAATTAATTGGCAGATCAAATATCAGGCAATAAAAGGACCAAATATTTGAAAGTAGTGTCTGAATGTTAAAATGAAATAGGCAGGCAACAAATATAGGCTCCCATTTCAGAATGCACTGACAGGGAGTCAGCATGGTCCAGGTGCTGAACTAGGAATCCGGAGATCCAGGTTCTATGCAGCCAGGAAGTTGCCTGGGTGACTTTGGACCAGTCATTTACCCACCGCCTAACCTACCTCACGGGCTGGTTACTGTAAGGGTAAGGAGAAGAGACTTTGAATTCCTTGCAAGAAAAGGGAGTGGGATATATGCATGTTAATTTAGAACAATTCAAGGGATACATCACCCAGATTAAGTGGGCTGGTGTACATATCTACCTCAACACAGTGCTCTCCAGATGCTATGGACAACAGCTCCCATCACCCCTAACAATGGCTGAGACTGATGGGAAATGCAGTTTTGGACTACTCCATAACTGCCTATATCATGGATGGCATCTCACCTGCTTTGACCTTATGGAAGCCTCCCCCAACCTGGTACCTTCTGGATATTTTAGATGACAACTTCCATCATCCATTACCACTGGCCACACTGGCAGAGGCTGATGGGAGGCTGGGAAAGGCTGGTTTGATTCAACTCATCCTAGGCTAGGAAAGCTCCTTGCTATTGCTGCTTTTGGTGCCCTGAGGGGCAGGCAGCGGCGGCTACAAAGGGTACTCTTAGCCTCATGCGGGTGCAGGGGACGAAAGGAGAGAGAAAACACTGGTGCTGTAAAACTTCATCAATAAATTGGTTCATGTTCAGTCCAAAGGAAGCAGCTTGCTTCTTTTTTAACATAAAGGACAACTTGGACAGATTATCTGCAGATATAGATATATTCAGGCAGACAGAAACACACAAACCTGAGGCTAGATCCAACCTTCCAAGTTTCCCCAGATAACTATGAGTCCTTTCGCGTGACCATCAATAGCCCAGTGATTTCCCAGCTGTTCTGCAGTTCCCTCTAACACTCAGGAATCTGAAATGCTTGAAATACCTCTTCGAAGGCCCAGGTTTATTTATTTACTATTACACTGAAAAATCAATTATAGCTGCTGGTTGTAAGAGCCTTCTGCTGAAAAATACTGTTATTTTTTATCCCATAACTTTTGCTTTTGGCCCTGCCTCTTGCTGGAATTGGGACCCAGAGAGCTTATCTGAAATTAAATTCAGATAGAGATAAAGAGGTTAACACCCATGTTTATTTGCATGCACGTTTGAGCACTTAATCAAATCAACCTAAGAATAGTCAGATAAAAAGGCACAAAGAGATACAACTTATCAGGGAAGGGATGCATGGCGCAGGAATACAAGGACTTGATAAAAACTGAATATGTCAACAAAAGATTAGAAAAGGATTTTTAAAACCTTTGATCCAGCCACTGTAAGCAGTGATTCTAAAGCTGCTGCCTTCGTAGGTCTTGAAGTCTTTTGCTGCCATTACCAGCCTGGATGTTCTGTTCCCTTGAGATGGCTCCGCATCTTCTACAGTGGAAGATGCATCATCCCCAAGAATCCCAATCAGAGCCCAGGGCTGTCTGGAGGGGCAGAGGAGGGCTGTGATGTAGAGGACAGTACCCCAATGACAAGATATTCTTGACTGGTTTTTATTCTGGATTTGCATATGTGGACCACTCCGGCTGATTTTTGGTGGAGAGAATCATGTTCAATTTCATTTAGCAGCTAAAGTGCTGTTTATCACCAGGTGGGCCATGCCGAGGCCAACTCCCCAGTGAAGGAATAGCCAAGGTGTGTAGGTGGTGATCTTTTGAGATTCTCTCTCGATTGGGTATGCATAAAGCCTATTAATCAGCTTAATGGGAGCAGTTGTGATTATGGCAAACGTGAAGAAGTAAAAAAAAGTTAGAGAACCTTCCAAAGGATGGGACCTCAGTCCAGAGCCGGCCGCAGAAGGTGCCCTGTGCCAGCCAGGCGCCCATCCACTGGGCCTTCTTTCAGGAGCCCCAGCAGCAGAAGGGCGGGGGAGCTGTGCCCTACGCCCGCCTCGCTTTATAGGCTCTTTTCTATGGTCTGCTAATAAGAAGCTAAGTCTTTACCCGCAAGCGTGTTTACTCTCTCTGGATCCCCAAAAAGAACCACTGCCATTCGCATGCCAGAACACACACGGAAGTGGAGAAGCTTCTTGCACAAACCCCCACGTGGGGGAGGGGAGAACAGCCAGGCCAGTGTGGGAGCTGTCCATGGTGGCAACCGGAGTTTTCAACAGAGCTGCTCTGCAGGCATTTACTGCTGCAGCTGCAAACGACAAATGAGTGTTCGCGCGCGCGCACGCACACACAGGCAAACTTGCACACAAAGCGCGGAGTGATCCAAACTGACAGACCACAAACAGTCTGTCAGGGGACACCCTTGGCTGCTGTAACTAGATAAGCCTTATAGCTTCCCATTAAGGGCAACTCCAAAGTTGTGGTTTCTTTCATTCCAATCCAGAAGCAAGATTTTTAAAAAGATGAATAAAAGGAAAGCATCCTTCATTCAGCTAGAGAATGCCACACGCACCGAGTGTGAGTGTTCTACATCCCGATTTAGCTGAAGCATCTTTAGTACTTAAGGGAAGGGGATGGTGAGGAGCCCTGCCCTGAGCCAGGGTTGGACTTGATGGCCTCACTGATCCCTTTCAACTCTACTGTCTGAGGATTCTAGGATTCTCACCCACCATGTCCTCAACCTGACTGAGCTTCCAGAGCTGCTGAACTATCATGTCTGTTATCCTCAAAGGACATGCGGCTGGGAAAGATGGTAGTTGCAGTCCAACCCTTCTGAAAGGCACCAGATCAGGGAGGGCTGATGCATTGTTTTAATTGCTGACAAAACTAATGGTACCTTGGTTTATTCCTACTCCAAATAACAGAGGAGGTGGAATTAAACCCCAAACTACCCCTCAACAACCTGGTCCTCATCTAACTGGAGTGCTGTAGATTGATTGATTGGTGAGGGTGGAGATACATGGAATCTCAGGAATGGGATGCATTTAAAATAATCTTTGACTTTCTGCTTGGAAGCTAAGCATCCTGGATGGAATCGGCCTGCAAGTTCATGGAAGGGATGCACGTGCGATTTTAAAGCACACATGTAAAAGTACCTGTGCTGCAGGTGCAGGATGGACTTGCTGTGCAGCAGGCTCCTGAGGAAGAGTCTGGTCTCCAGCGTTAAGCTCTTTGCGGCAGAGTCCCCCACAGCCATAGCCACCACACTGCCCGGGGCCTGATGCACCAGGAACTCCTTCAGCCGCCGGCCTTCATCCACAAAGAGGTGGGTGTCAAAGCGATCTGCAGCCATCACCTGGGCTGTGCCGGCATCCACTATGCAAACATTGAGGCCGCGGCTGCTCCAACGCTTCTCTGAGACATACCGGCCATGCCGGAGCCCACCTGGATACAATGTTTTTGCCAAAAGGGTCCAGGAACGAGGCTTTCTGCCATGCAACTCCAGAATGCCCCCTCTGCCCACTCCCAGGAATTTTTTGCCATAGCCTTCCACACTGGCTCCTTCTGTGGCTTTCCCATAAAGAGAGATGATGGCCTTAGAGCGGTACGGGCAGTTCTCAGAGCCAACATGTAATGCCCCACCATCCTCCAAAAGGATGCTGCGAGCTCTTAAGGTGATGGGCTGCTCCGGGTCGTCCGCAAATACTAAGACACCTGGAAAGTAAGCAGAAGGAGGACAACTTTCTCAGATATGTGAGCTGGTGCAGCCTAGTGGCAATTGAGCTGTTGCCCAGGAAGATGCTGGGTTGAATCACACCTCTGCCATGAACTAAGTTAGGTAAATTACTCCATCTCAGCCTCAGTTTTCCCATCTGCAAAATGGGAGATCCCCATAGTGGCTTACCTGACAGTGTCACAAGAATCAAAATTAGATGATGCATGTGAAAAGGCTTTGAATGTTCACAAGCAATATAGAAAAGTTAGGGGTGCTGATATACTATCTGTGTGTTAGGAAGCAAGAACAGGAATTGTGTAAAAAGGCAGCAGCTCAAAACTACACATTGACTGGGTTCAGACAAAATAATAATCCATACTCAACAGTTGAGTGAGGGATATTATTAAACTGTGAGTTATTGTGTTATCTGAACCCACCCATAACAAACCATGGTTTGTTAACCATGAACAAGCCACACTTTACAACCCAACAACAAACCATGGGTTCTCTTCTGAGATTGTGGTTAACCAATCAAAGTTTGTTCACTTGGCTGGTTGCACACAGTAGAATAACCCATTTCAAGAACAACCCATACTTCAATGACAAACCACAGTCACAGACAACCCATACTCAATCCTGGGGTGCAGCTAAGCCTGCTGTCTGAACTCTGCCACTAAACCTCATCTAGAAAACAAGGCAAGCTGAACTGCTCCATCAAAAGCATTCTGCTGGAGGTTCTTTCAGCTGTGCAAAGTGTGGCAAATACACATGTGAACCAGCCCATATATCAGTCTTCCCCAGCTTGGTGCCTTACAGATACCTGGGCTACAACTCCCAGCATTCTTGGCCATCTGGGTCTGATGGGAACTGATGTCCAAAACATCAGGAAGGTACCAGGTTAGGAACGGGTGCTAATATATGCCACAGGGGTTTTTTGAGAGGATAAAAGTGAGAGAATGGGGGGACTCATAAGCCTCCTTGAGTTCATTGAAAGGGGGAAAGGATGGGCTACAAATAAAACAACATAAAATAAAACATATAGTGGCAGCATTGCTCAGTGGATCAAAGCATAGGTTTGCAAAAGCTGGGTTCAAATTCCCAGTTGGTCTTGGTCAGTTGCTCTCTTTCCAGGCAACTTAACTTAGAAGGTTACTGGGAGAGATGAGATGTGAAGCACATTGGAGTGAATTATTCAAGAAAAGAGTCAGTTTGAAAATGAACAAAATTATTCCACAGAATATTGGGTGGGGTGGGGGTTGTACAGAGGCAGAAAATCAACTAGTCCAACTTCCGGCAAGTCCACATAGAGGGGCCACTTGTGGAAAGGAGTTATGTGCCTTTAATTGAAGCAGCTACATCTGTTGAATTTCAGTCTGTTAGGTTGCCGTTAATGGCAGAGACCTTCTGTAAGATGGCTCCATGAAGCAGGAGAACCACTTCAGGATTAAGTTCTAAACAGGACTGGCAGATCACTTACCATTTTCCAAGCATCCCCTTTGCCAGCTCCCACAATCCCTAACTAGAGGAACAGGACTAATGGGAACGGTTTCCCAAAGCATCGCAAGGCTGCTGGACTCGTTTTGCTCTGTGAAGGGGAAGGTTAGATAAATGCCCCTGCGCACACCCAGATCACAGCCTCTGGAGCACAGCCGCTTCAAAGGCTTCTGGATTTGTGGCATGTGCATTGCTGGAAGTTGCCAATCAAGTTCGTACTACAATGTATCTGGTAGCTCTTTAAAGGACCACAGGACCCTTTAATGTCTGCAACAGATGCATAGGGCTGCAGGCTGGCCGGAGCAAAGTGGAAGGACTCTGGATTCATCATGGAGCTGCTGCTGGGCATGGAGAAGGCGCCGGGCAGGCTAAGACAGACCCTGCCTGGAGTGCCAGAGCACCACTCCTGGCTGAACCAGATGGAGCAGGGCTCTGACTCCACGTAAAGAAGCGTCGTAGATTCTCTTTGCACCAGCAACTGAGACACTTGGGAAGCATCCGCTCCGCCTTGCTCTGCACGGCTCTTTGCAGGTTTGGAGGCAGACAGTCTCCAAGCACCACTTGCTGAGGAGGCCTGGAAGGGCTTCTTATCCTGCAGTCGTTTCCACACCCAGTGCCTGGTGGGAAAGAGGTGCTGGACTGGATAAGCCATTGCTCTGATCCAGCAGGGCCCTTGTGGGTTAGTAGACCCAGATACACAGAAAGGATTTCACAGAACTTTCTGGCCTTCTAAACACTGAAAAATAAGCATGGACGAGATGAGCTTTCTGCTCCTTTCCCAGTCTATGATTCTGCAACCTGAGAAGACCAAAAGGGCAGCCAGTCCATATTGATCTCCCTTTTGCGTGTGACTGAAAAGCTCAGCCTCACCCTGCCTCTCTCCTTATTCCCCCTCAAGACCTGGCCTTGACGTGCAGGGTGCAAGCTGAATGGGTACATGTGTCAGCATAAGCTCCTCAAACAAAGTGTCTCCTTCCCAGATGAAGATTAAAATGCAGTGGGCAAGGAGGCACCAGCTACTTGGAAATAATGGCCCCCACACAATGCACATGTCCCCAAAAGTTACAGACAGAAGAATCGGGGGGGGGGTGACTTTCAAATTAAAGACCATTGTTCCAGACTTACCTGGAAGCCAGCCGGTGATTTCCCCTGTACTGCAACATGGTGTAGTGGTTTAAATTTTGGACTTGGACCAAGGAGACTCCGGTTCCAGTCCTTGCTTGAGCATGAAACTAACTGGATGACTTTGGGTCAGTCACTGACTCTCAGCCTAACCTGCCTTGCAGGGCTGTTGTGGGGATAACATGGGAAGGAAGTGGACCGTGTAAACCACACTTGGGAGAAAATGTGGACAATAACTGCAATAGATACATCACATTTAGAAGCAAGATGCAGCAGATGATTTGGGACTAATCCAGGGCAAGATCAGGCACCCCACACCCCTGAGGCGCACCCCACCAGCCAGGGCACCCTTTTTATTCCAAGAAACCAGCTTCTGCAGCAAAACCAAGATGTGACACCCCCAAGCCCACCTTTACCTCCTTCCTGGATTAGCACGGAATGAAAAGTAGCTGAGCTCTCCAGGCAAAGTGCCTGCCCTCGACCAATGACAGTGGCGTGGCTGCTGTTGTGTCCCGGGCGCCACGGGCTGAGATGTGCCCCCGGCCACCAACAGCTCCCTGTGAGAGAAAAACGAGAAAAGCGGATGAGACTCACTGCTCTCTTCACTGGGCGCGCTTCTCAGGGACGGGGCCACCCAAACGGAGCCGGGCGACTCGCCTCCCCTCCCCAGCAAAGGACCTGCAAGGGGGACGGAGCGTCAACAACCCGTGCCTGACCTCCCCCACAAGATGGCAGACTGGAAAGCATGAGGGCTCACCTGTGTACACGCCGCGGATCCGCTCGTGGAGGATGGAGAGGGACCCGGCTGCGAGGCCTTCCACAGCGCCGTGGAGAAGGAAGGGCGGCAGAGTTTCCGCGCCTCCCCACCGCACCTGGGCGAAGGCGCTTTTCTCGCCGGCGCGCATCGCAGTGGCAAACGCCAGCTGTTGAGAGGCGACACGCCGCGGCTCTTCCTTCCTTCTTTCCACTGACAGTCGACGAGCCAAGGAAGGAAGCCGGCAAGCGCGAGTGGAGCGTGCGCCTCCATGCACGGGCGCGCTCTTCGCGGGCGGCGGCGCGGGCGGCGAGTTGAGCAACACGTGGAGACGGCGACCCGTGAATGATGGGTCCCCCACGCCCCGTCACTTCGCGCTTGCACCCCAGATCCAATTTTCCAATAACCATTGAGATTTTTGATACCTCTCAATCTGATGCTGCAAGCACACGCACAGGAACACACACACACAACACGCACACACGAGTATAGGTAGGATTCGAGATATGAACAGCAGGATCCTAAGCATCGTTTAGACAAGTCCTACAACTCCAGAAAAAATGAAGCCTTGAAGTGCAGTCCCAAGAACCCTACAACTCCCCAGCCCCATATCCCAATCAGGCACAGAATTGCACTTCAAGGCTGCGCTTCGACCCCAACTTACCTCGGTTCAAGCCCACTTTGCAAGAGGAAACCTCAGCATGGTCACTCGGAATTGCGATCTGATATTCGACATGTCTACTCACTATGCAAGACCCCACGAGTTCACCGTGTTTTTCTCCCAGGTAAGCTGCTATGCTCTATGCTGCTATGCTCTAAAGATTCCAACCTTTCTCTCTCACCTTTTGCCACGAGCGCGCGAACAGAAACCCCAGTTCACCCCGCAGCCGCCTCCAAATGCAGCGCCAACAGCGCCTCCTGGCGGCGCTCAAGGAACCACCAGGACCCGGTCGGCACTCCATCACCGCCTACCTGCTTCGCCTTTGGTCCATGGGCGCACGCTCGGATGCAGCTGCTCTAAAGCCAGAAGCGGCTTTCCCTTCCCGATCCTTCCCCCCCCGGCAACCCACTTGCCCTCTAGCACACCTCTCAGCGCGGCTCGGAATGGGGAGCTGCTCCGGGGCGGTCGCAGTGGCTCCTCTCGCGCTTTCGCTCTCTTAAAAAGCCCGGTCTGTTCGGTCGCGTTCCTGAGCCCAGAGGCTTTATCAGCGCTCCCGTGCCCGGCTTTTTCCCTGCCGCCCCACCAGGCTCCCTATTTATAGGCGATGGCGAAGCCGCGCTGTTTACACCAGCTGAGCTCCTGGCTCCGCCCCGGCCTGTGACGCCTTCTTGCATTCTGGGCATACCGCGCGGCTGCTGGCGCCAAGTTGCAAAAGAGGAGGAAAAGAAGAAATGAGGCAGAGCGGGGAGGGAGGAGGCAAGGGCAAGGGGGGATGCGCGGTACTCCCCCCTCCCCCCCATTTCCTTCCTTGTTGCAGCCCCGATTGCTTAACTTCGCTTCGGTTGCGAACTGACCCCTCCCCGCCACCACCACGTCCAGGCTGGGGAGCCAACTGGGTCAGGTTGCGCGCATCCTGGAACATCTTGAAAACGATGAGTGGCCCATTTCTCCCCTTTGCCCCCCCCCTTTCCATGGCGGTGGTGGGGGGTGCGTCTGGCAGTCCCACACCGGATTCACACGTGTGTTCTCTCAACCGCACAAAAGTGGAAAGGCGACCTCTCCGTACACCAAAAATGCAGAGCCAGCCAGCCAGCCAGCCGAACCAGAAAAGCACTAGATTTTTAAAGCAACTGGGTTCGAACCCGCGTGCGGTGCCCTCCGGGCCGTGTCTGCTCGGAAGCAAGCCGCATCAAGCTCAGCGGAACTCGCTTCCACGTACGAGGAGAACGGACGCCGCATGCTGACCGACGTCGCCAAGCCAGGGAGAGGTCCAGACTAGTCTAAAGGTCCAGACTAGCAAGCGAAACTCCAGGCGGCGCTGCAGGATGCCTCTTAGCCTGCCCTACCTCTCAGGGTTGCTGTGCAGATGGAGAGGCAGCCGGGAGAATCACCAAGATTTGGGGGGGGGGGGGGAGGAAGAGAAAATACATGTTATAAATCCGATTTTTTTGTCTTATCAAAGCAGATGTTAATTTGGTGGGGAGAATGCAAAGCCCTTCCACACACCCATCTTCCCATCTCGCTCGGAGATTATGAACACTCACGCGCTTTCGCACACCCTCCCATTCGCACACGCTCCCTTACCCAAGACCCTTCAGTAGGGACTCCATCAAGCAGAAAGAGCCTTGATTTTATGCTGGGAAACGGCAAGTGTGGAAAGGGTTTTGTTTTGTTTTGTTTTGAAAGCCTTCTCAACAACACTGCTTTCTTGAGCGAATTAGCCAAACTCTCACGGGCACTCGCCCCGTTGTGCAGAATCGAACCGGCAACTTTTCAATCAACCAGCACAGCAGTTTAAACCACTGCGCCACCTGCATCCTCATTCACACACAGAGACACGTAAGCCATCCCCCGTATGGTACTGTTATATGGCAGCAATCCTCCACTTGGCAGAACGATGTTACAGAATTCTAAGTGAGCTTCATGGAGCATGGTCAGACTTGGGCCCCAGGCAGCAGCGCACCTAGATAGCATGCCAGATACTATCCATACGCACATACCTGGGCGTATTCTGACCACCCAAACCCCATGTTGCTTCCAAGTAAACACTGGCTTGTTAATTTAGAGCAGCCTTCTCCCTTTTTGCACCTTTCCAAAGCAAGAGCCAATTGTTAACCTGATTTAATCAACATCAGTCATAAGCATTGCTTGCAAGATCCATTCGTTTTAAATATATCTTTCTCTATAAGGTGCAAGCGACTTCAGAGCAGAAGCTCGTTGGATAAGGCCGTGAGCATGGTTACTCAGACATCATCAGGGCAATGTGACTTTCTCCCCACATACATGCATTTAAAAAATCTGGAACCTAGAATTGATGCACTGGAGGTAGTAAGTCCCACTGTGGGCCGTAGCCTTGATTAAGCCCTACTGGAGAAGGCCTGTCCCTCATAAAAGTTGCCTCTTACAGGACTTGGCTGTTGCAGCTGGCAGCAGTAACAGGCAGTGGCTGCATGCTCTTAAGAGTGCCAGGTGGCCGCATCCAAGAGGTGCCATTTTAATTACCCACAATGCCCAAAGAGCCATGTGGGGAATTAAATGGAGGCATCCCAGCTCAGCTGGCTGATGCTGAATAGAATTGCTGGCTAAGGATAGGGGAAGAAAGGGGAAGAAAGATATGCTTAAAGGGGGCCCCAAATCAGACCTCAACAATGTGACCAGGTTCCATATGCAAAGGATTGTGGCCCTTGTTCAATTTTTCAAAGAGAAAAATTAGGTCAGGATGCCCAAAGCAAAGAAAAGGGAGGAAGAGAAGGAACCAGTTTATTCTAAGGATAGAACGGCTGTGTCAGGCAGGTTCAGAGGTCATCTCCATTTCCTCATGTTCCATCCTCTGCTCATTGACAGGATCAGATTTTTAGATACGGGAATTTTGTTTCTGTGCAAATGGGCAGTTGTAATGCACACTTGTGCACTTGCCCCTCCTCCAAGTAAAAGAAAGTCCACGCAGCCCAGAAGATGATCAGTCCACTGTGGCATCGGCGGGTCTGAGTCACAGACATCTGATCACATGCCTGTTATATTATTTTCTACTGTATTATGAAAAGTCAAGACTCCGGTCCTTCTTCTGAAAGCCACCAGCCAAGCTCTTGTGGTGAATTTAATCACTTTTACTGGATGAACTTCCTCCTTCTATTATGATAGGTAGAAAAACCATTCTGCTAGTTCCTCCAGATTACTGGCCCCCACCGAGTAGGTCAGAGCTGAATCTCAAGAGGGTTGCCAAGCAATGACCGGCACTGCACTGCTTCTTCGTTTAATCATCTCCCTCCGTTGAAAGCAGAAAAACAAATGCAGTGGGGAGAACAAATTGCCCTGTGGGTTAAAAGGGGGAGAACCAAGCATATTTGAGGTGCAAGTCTATGCATGCTCAGATTTTGAAAATTCCTCAAACACCCAGCATTTCCTAGCCAGCCATGGCTAAAGATACTTAGGACTCCACCCTTAAATAGGTCCCACAGTGCAGCTGTGGCCCAGGGCGGCCCTTGGACAGCTGAAGCTCTGCCGGGCAGAAGATGGAGCTGGTCTGCTCAACACTGCACCAGTGTGCAGGACTACAGTCGCTTCACCCTTTCCTCACACTGAAGCTACAACTCCTGTGATCACCAGGGTTGGTTTATTTATGGGGGGGGGGGGGCTTCTGGGCCTTTTCTACATGCTGCTTTCTACAGAAAGACAATAGGACAGGACAAACCATCTATTTCAAATGCGTTCTCCAACCTGCTCTTTTCATAGATCATATACATCCATCCATCTTCTGGCATTGAAGCTGGAATATAGCAGCACATCTTTTTGGTGCCAAAAGCATTAATACTGCCAGAAGAAGCTGCCAAAAAGAGCACAATGCAGCAAGACACCTTTATGGTGCCAGGCCTTTGACATTTTCCCTGCATCAAAGTTTTATGTTAAAGCTGACAACTGATTATTATTTGACTCTTTAATAATACTGAAATAGTCTATTTTATCCTTTGGGCGTTTCTTTTGCTCTTTTTTATGTATTTGCAATTTTTGTGTGGCTGCATTTGACTGGATGTTTTATTCTATAATTCAATATGTGTTTTAATTTTTACCAGTCAAACTGTTGTACTTTGCCTAGAAGTTAATAGACTAAGAATTGTAAATAAGTACAACACATAAGAATTTGTAAAAAGAAACATTTTGTTCCTTCTTCCAGAATTAAATTATTCTAGTGAGTACAAAGGATGTGTTTTCAGAGCCTTGGACACTCTCACGGGGCACGATCACTGTGCCATCCAAGGGACAGGCAGGCATGTTTCTGGTGTTCTTTGCATACCATGCTTGTCCTCAGCATTTGTACTCAGAGATACAGGGCTTCCTGTTACGAAAGTTGCATGAAAGGACCCTAAGCCACCAATGGCTCTATTTGCTTGCTTCTTTTTATCAAACATCCTGTAGTGACTGCAACTGCAATGTAAGCCTGTACCTATTTATGCATCCAGCACTTTCCCATGTTCAATGGAATCCATCCCCAACTATGAACCTGCGATATTGCAGGCTAAGCTACAAATCGAGAAATCCTTTGTTCAAACACAGCTCAGTGGATGGGCTTAATCAAGCCACTCAGCCTTTTCATCAGCAGCTGTACTGGTCTACCTGACAGGGAGGTTTCTCATGTCACCACATTCATACCCCACCTAGTCTTCCTCCTGTGAGAAGCCCAAGTGAGCTTACATAGACCTCCTCCTCTCAGTGTTACCCTCATGACAACCACGTGAAAGAGGTGAGGAGAGGACCAGCAAGCGGCCCAGAGTCACCCAGCAAACCTCCTGGCACGAAAGGAGTGTAGGACCCAGAATGCCAGCCTCGCACGCGAGTCACTACAGTGCCCGTCAAGGTGCAGAACTGACTGCGTGTGGAGAGCTTGAGCCTCTTCCCCCAGCGGCCATGCGTCCGATCAGCCACGTGTGAGCGGCCACAGAGCGCTGCATGTAGCGTGGAGCCCCAGCTCTGGATACGCTGCCCCACTCTCCCTCCTAGGCTGCTTTCCTCGATTCCCCACACAAAGAGCATGCTCAGTCCTGGCTGCCCCTCACCCCACCACCCATAATGTGTTGTGCTGGCGCTGGGGATCCCCACACCTCCTGACTACTCCCTCTGGGTTCACGCTAGAAAATACAGCCCAGGGACTTTCCAACAGTTCGTCATTCCTGCCCTTGCCCTTCGCAGAGTTGAAGTCAGTGGTGTGTGGTGAGGGTGCCTGGACTTCTCCTACTGGCCACAGCCCATCGCTGCTCCCTTGCTCACAGCCTTTCCACTTGACTTTTGTGCTCGTTTGAAGACACGAACATGAAAAATGCATGTTGAGACGGAGATTTGGTGCATCCCTTCTCATTTTACTGACATTCGAGAGACCGCAGTAGTCCGAGTCATCCTATTTTACAGCCCACTCCTCCACATGCTTACTCAGAAGCAGCTGCCACAAACCTCCATGGGGCTTACTCTGAAGTGCATGCGCCAGTAGCAGCCTTACACCAGTTTTGATATATTGGACTGAAGCTGAAGATTCTGCTTCACTACAAAAGCACCTTTGTCATCTTGAGTCAGCTGTGTAAGAAGCACAGTTCCTACCATCATTATTTCTTTGGGGAAATGCAATAAGGAACCTGCCCAGTCAGTCTGAAGTCAGGTCCAGCTCCAGACTTCTCAGGGCCCTTGAGCAAGATCCCTGCAATGGTCTGAACCCCTGTGAGTCCGTCTTCACACCACCGTATTCACCAGCGCCGCCTCGCCCTCTCTCTCTCGGCATTGCCACTGCTAGCTTGCTTGGCAGGCAGGAATCCATCCCCTGCTGCACCAGCCAGCACAGGCCAGGCGAGCACAAGAGGCAGATGGACAAGTAACTAGCAAAGTGAAGAGGAAGGGGGCAACTGTGGGTCCAAGAGGGATGTCTTCCTGCTGCGACTAGCAAGAATGAAGCTCCCTGTGGCGATCACCTGCAAACATGAGCAGCTTTCACCTAGGCTACCACTCCCCACAAGGATCCCTGGACTTCAGCAGACAAGGACAGGAGGCTGAATCCCCAGATCCTGAGATGTGGAGGAGGAAGAGTCTGTGTGCACCTGCATGAGCCTCGGAGCTAAACAGTTGTGCTCCCAACTTTACCCCATTACTTTTAGTGGCTATACAGGCGTGCCTGACCAGCAGCAAAGTCTGCATTTCCTTAGGAGATCACCCGAACCAGCCAAACCGCTGAGCTGCTTCCTGTAAGTTCTTGAAACTTTTTTTTTAATTTGCAGTGCTGGGGGGATGACAATGCTGGATCTCAGAGGGGTGGGGCTTTATTTCTGAAAGCATTCACTTTCTCTTGGGTCAACTCCCTCCTGACTGGTATCCTGTTTCCTCCTCTCTGCGCAGACGGAGGAAGGAAGAACCTGTCATTCACCCCTTTCCACAGATGAATGAATGAGGTCCACAGGGAATCAGGTCTACTCAGCAACTGCCACCCCGATTTGGCATGTCCCAGGTGCTTTTTTTCTGTTTCACACCGTGAGCTGCTTTGAAGACGTACAACCTCAGCCTAACCTTGTAACATATTGCTGAGTTTATTGTCTTTCATGTAGCAAAGCAACCACTGTCAAGAACAAGATTTCCTTTCTGGGAATGCCTCTTGGAAAATGTCTGTGTCCAGCGTGGCACCTGCTGAAGTTGTGGGGCAGGTGAGTGCAATGACACTCAAGCATCTGCTCGGGCGTGTGATGGACCAGATCGCCCACATCTTGGGCACAGGCAGGAAGGGATTTCCTGATGAGGTCAGCAACCAGCAGGCCAGTAGAGATCCAGGGGATCCCAGCCTAGGGCTTTGTAAACAAGGACCAAAAACTTCAGGGACAGTGTAGAGTAGTGGTTAGAGTGAGACTGTGACTCCGGAGACCTTAGTCTTAGTCCCTGCTCTGCCATGATGCTTTGTGGGTCACTTTGGCCCATTCCCTGACTTTCAGCTTTAACTACCTCACAGGGTTGTTGTCAGGTAGGTTAGGCTAATTCTAAGCTAACTCACAACAATTGTAATGCTCGGTAGAATCTCGACAGCCCATGCAGTTCCCTCAGCATTGGGATATTAAGGTGGTCTTCTTTTGATTAATTGGCCAGAATTGGGAGGCTTCTGATTTCTAAAAATTTTGTTTTATTTTTGGCCTAGGAACAGGGTTAAAATGGCTGTAAGTAAAATAAGTTTTACTCTGGAGGGCAAAGGATTTACCAGAGTCCCAAGATCAGCAAAGCCCTTGACACCGTTTTACTCTCTGGTACCCAAGCAAGCATCTACCAACACTGCGTTATACGTTTATTATCTTTTATTTGTTACTGTTGGTGCTTTATTTTAATTTTTGGGTGATTATTTTAAGCTACTCTAAAAATTTTGTTTTAGGACTACCTATAAATAAATGAGTGAATTCTAAATATAGTTAAATGTAAAAAAGACATTTCAGAGCAAAAGGAAGCTGTGAAAGGTAGGGGGACAAGAAAATGAGAGAAGAAATCAGAGAACTCCTTTTGAATCAGAGAATCAAATGTGATGCATCTGGTGAAAAAGAAAGAAGTGAAACACAGGTCTCCATTTTGCAGGTTGGAGTTCAAGATGTGCCCTCGATGAACTAATCTAGAGAAACGGATGGAAGTTGTTTTACGAAACGCTCAGCTGCAATCTCATTTCTACCGATGGGGGTCTCCTTTCCACACCAATGGCACTACTACTGCTTCCCTCGTTGACCTCCTGGAGACATTTTGCACACCCTGGTGCAGGCTTCACTCTGTACGTTTCACACTGGTGTGATGCCAAAGTGAAGATCCTCATTACAAATGCTAATTCAAACCAAAATGGTTCAAAGGAAAATAAAAAAAAATACACAGAATGTCAGGAATCGTACATATTAAGGGCATCTAGGGACAAAAAGAAAATAGAATGAGCTGTATTAAAGGTGTGATTCTATATGTGATAACAGAAAATGGTCCTGCAAGGTGCTAGAATGTGCAGGATTTTTCTGTCTAAAGATGCAAGGATTGAACCATAAATGCAATTTTTACTTGCACACTTTACCTCCTCCAATTGAAAGTGACGCAAAGCAAATCTGCATGCATGCATACATACACGCACACTAACACACATACGTGTGCATGCGCACACACACAGAGAGGAAGAGAGAGGGAGGGAGGGAGGGAGGGAGAATATGCACGTATGCAAACCGTTAAGTTCGCAGTCCTAGAAAGACTTGCATGGGAGCCACACTAAACTCAATTGGGCTTACTTCTGTTCCCCAAACCAGTTTGGGTGCTTGCAGGTGTCTCTGGCCCCTCCACCAGTTCATTGCACCTGGCTCTCCACACCTCTGAGACACTGTTTCAGCCTCCCCAAACCTGTTGCTCTCCACAGGTGCTGGACTACAGTCTCCATCAGTCCCATCGAATTAATGCGGGCTGTGGGGACTGCAGTTGAGACCTGTACAAAGCACCCAGGCTGGGGGAGCCTGCACTTTTCCAGTGGCTGCTGCATCGCAGCTCTGGGTGCAGCAGTTAAAGTAGATCCTACCACTGCCCAGGGGAGGTCACTGGAAATGTACATTCGTTTACTTACCATTATCTGGTGGTTTCCTCATTGTGGGTGTCTGACTCCTCGGTGGTGAGGATGCCTTTGGCTGATCCATTTTCGCTGCCATCCCCCCATTCCCAAATAGCCGGTATAAGGATGAAGACTTTGCTTGGGAATGCAGCAGCTTGCGGGGATGAAGATGGGGTCGTGGGGGTGAAGGCGGCGATCCAGAGGCACCGGGGGGAATTTTCTGAAACAGTTCCTTAGAATCTGTATTCCATAAAGAGCTGTTAAGCCTCAGGTTGTTTTCTGAAAAAATAATAGAGTCAGAGGTGACATTTTTGTCTTTTTAAAAGAAATAGATTTCCCCCAAAGATTGCCACAAGATGATACTTGTGGCCTCTTCACTGATGAAAGTACTCTCCACTGATACATTTTTTCAACCTGTCCACCACTGCATTTTCAACGGTCGCCTGGGCCCAGGGTACCCATTCAGAGCATCATCTCCTACGCATCACTCCCTGTTCTTTAACGGGGAGAAACTAGAAAGACTCTTCTCTAGATTCCATTGGAAAGCTGTGTCAAAGTGCAGTCTCTGCAGTGGTGGCCCTACAATTTTTGAGCGTTTAGGATGTGGGAAGAATCTACAGCAGAATCAAGGCAGTTTGGGTTGCCATGCATCTCACCAGCAACTTTTCAGCAAGCTGGGTTTTTTTCCTAGTCATGTGGATTCCACAGACTTGCAGGCTGCTTTTTTAAACTTTTGATGAAAGTTTCTGCTAATTCACATAAATTAAAATGAATTTGCACAAGTACACATTGGCACACAGAAAAAGGCTGCGGGGGGAGGGAGTTGAATCAGTTCCAAGGATGAGCAGACAATGAAAGGAAAGACAGCTGACCATCTGCAAACCAGACAGAACAGTATTAATGATTCTGTTATGCTCTATCAGTATCTCCTAGAGTTGCCCACAAGGCAGTATTACAACTTAGAGCTTTCAATGCCAGCTGAAGATATAGAAGCAGTACGGCATAGCAATTATGGTGTTGGACTTAGACCGGGCGAATCCAGATTCAGATCCCTTTTGAGGCTTAAACTAGTCGCTATTTTTCAGCCATAGCTACCTACCAGGGTTGCTGTGAATCTAAGACAGACTAGCCACGTACAACAGGAATGGACTGAAGATAGGCAGTGTTCTACTGGATGGTCTGCAATATTGCATATTAGAATCATAGAATTATAGAACAGAAGAGTTGGAAGGAGCCATGAAGGCCATCGAGTACACCCCCCCCCCATTAGTACATTCCTATCCCACTTTTTTTCCCTCTTACGAGGAATCCAAGGTGGCTTCCACATTCCTGTCAGGTAGATTGGCCAGATCTTTTAGATCAAATACTGAATACCAGGAAAACCCAGTCTTTGGGCAGTTATTACAAGTCTCTGATCTGTAGTAATGAAGTCATTGGTTTATATTTGCCAATTTGTACAGACTGGAAGAAAAGGCATTTCTTAGAAATCTCTAAGGTTTCTTTTTTAAATGGCTGGTGTTGCTGCATCTGTTCTTGGGGTGCTTTATATCAAGGGGGCAAATGTTGTACATCACCACAAATGTTTTTAATCAAAAAACAGCTAAATCAGTCTGAGTCCTTTGGAAATGCTCAGTTCACACCTTGGAGGCCCAGGATAAATGCCATCTGCCAGCAAAGTCTATGCATTTCTGAATCTTCAATGTGATTCACAATCACCACTGCCCAAAGGTTGTTTGACATCATACATTTATTCAAAAAGGACTTGGCAGGTGGTGTAAGTCACAATAAAAACCCATCTGCAGCAACAAACCATTTCCCCCTTGCAGGGGGCAAAGCAAAGCAACTGCTCCAGGCAGCAGATGTCAGGCAGGGGCTGGAGGACAGCAGCCCCAGCTGCTCCTCCCGAGCCCAGCCAGCCATTCCCCTCTGGTGCAGGACAGAGCCGTGCGTGCCACGCAGCCACCCCTGTGACTAGCCTGCTGCTCTCAGGTGGAACAGAGCAGAGCCGTTCAGAAAGGAGAGCCCCCGTTGCTTTGGACTTCAGCCACCCGCATTCCTGACCCTTGGCCCCACCAACAGGGGATTCTGGCAGCTGGAAGCCAACACATCTGCCCACTCCCAGTGTAGAGACTACTGACCCAGATGAACCAGTAAGCCGACCCTAAAGATACTCCCTGTGTCCCTTGCTAGGCAACTCGGGCATTCTACTCCATGCTTGAGTGGTGACGTATCTCCACACCCAAGAGAAGATGCACACCGACCAGAAGAGCCATCAAAATGCTCGGCCTTTTTAGCAGAGAAGTTCGTGTGTATAGCTTAGCACTTCTGCACTGATTGGAAGCTGCTTGTTCAGGGAGAAAAAGGGAGAGCACAGGCACCCCTGCAGGGGGAAATATGGTCCCACTGCAGGATGGAAGTCAACTGCCAAGTCCGTGCATGGAATGGGGTGATCCTTTACCTCAAGCTGCAAAGTGTCTTGCCCTGGCCCTGGCTGCACTGTCCCTGGACAGGTGCGTGCTGGTATAAGAAAGCACCCATTTTGAGAAAATGCGAGGGGATCAGGCAAGAGCCTGTGGACCATTATGAGTGGTGCACATTTCATCAAGATAATGCAGAATATTCAACTGATGCTTAAAAGTCCTGGGACAGCACCTGGTTGGCCCGTGGGCAGCAGCAGGAGGAGGCTGGTTAGCACCAGAACACTGGAGACAGGCGGGGAAAGCTGCACATGGCGGTGAGGTTGACCCTTCAGGCACAGAAGCCTCTCTGATCCTCTTTCTTGCTGGAGGGAAGGTGACCTTGAAAGACCCGAATGGAGCCAGCTGACAGGTCCAGCCCAGCAAAGGAGCAATGGGAAAACAGCCAGGGGCCAAGGAAGTCCTGCAAAAGATATCCAGATGGCTTTCCACACCAGTATTTATACTTTTCTTCCAATGCAGAGCGCTTTCCTTTCATGAACCACATTTCCCTCCTGACTAATATTAAGGCTATTACACAACAAGCTTTCTGTCAAAAGAAATAAGTACCCATCATGAACACACAATGCCCAGTAGGACCTTCTGACAGCAGCTAGGAATACCTGCTTGCCTTTTCAGTAGAAATGGCCTGAGCCAGAACTAGACATTTCAGGGGAAACAAACCCATTTTCCTTCAAAAGGTAAGATGGCTTCAGATACATTGAGAGTATGGATGCAAATCCCACCTCACCCCACCATCTTAATCTGGCTATAAAACCAAAAGCAATTCCTCACATTCCCCTCTCAACCTCCATTCTGGGAAGGTCTTCCAGCTATAAGAGTTTGGCCCACTATCCCCATCAGATACTGGGGACAGATTAGACTTCCCCAAACATGCCCCCCCCAGACAGCTTGAACTATAGCTCCTATCAGCCTCAGCCAGCAGAGCCAAGGGTCAGGGATGATGGGTCTAAAGTTAAAACACCTGGACAGAGCCAGGCTAGGAGAGGATGGACCTCCATGTTTCCTCTAACTTCATTCTGGACAGCAAGAGCAAAGAAACCACAGGGGAATCCCGTTGATCATTTGGTTGCTGGTTTGATTTACAACCCACTATCCTGACAAGGAAATGGCAGCATGCAAATTCCCTGCTCCCCCCAGCTTCCTTTTGTCTCATGTCACATTTAAACTGCATGCTCCTCGGGGCAGGGACCCCCCTTCATCCATTTGCTTTATATTAATGACTCCAGCAGATAAAATGGCCTGGCAACCAACTTTCAGGAAATAAGTCCAGCCCAAAGATTGGTCCCAGCTAGGCTAAGCCAGGTTTGGGAACACCAGATGTGGCAAATCATGCATCCCAGCTTCCAAGGGCATCTCCTCCCTGGGCCAAGGCCTTCTGAGGTGAAGGACAGCCTCCCACTCCATGTACAAAAACCAGCTGTGCTGGCAGAGGAATATGGCTGTGATGCTCATGATGAGGCCGTGTCTTCCACTGCACCTGCGAGCAGGTAGCGTAAGGGCTGCAAGACACACACCTCTCTCTAACACCTTGCGGACCCGGCCTAACATCTGCTGCTGGCGAGGCGACCACCCCACCCTAAGAACCAGCGTGACACAACGGCATGACTGGGGCATAGAAAGGTAGAAGCAGAGCGAGCCAGAAGGGTCCTCCCGGGCCATCTAGTCTGACCCCCTGCTCCAGCCGGCTCCACTCAGGCATGCCCACCACACGGCTGCATCTGCGCAGCTAACACATTTCGCTGGGTGACTTGGGGCGGTCTGTGATTCTCAGCCAACCTTCCTCACAGGGTCTTTGTGAAGAGACGGATGGAGGGGCAGAGGAGGAGCCTTCAGCTCCTGGTGGAAAAATAAATGCATCCTGGGGCTTTTGCTCATGTTCAGCCAACCCAGCCCACCACCTCTTTCCGGGACCCCGTTCAAGGGATCTCAGAAATTCCCGGGGAAACCAGCCCTGCGCCGCCAGGCCACGAAGCTCGCCAGTGCTGGAGCTGCGAGGGACCGGGCAGACGAACTGGATGCTTCCTGCGATTTGGGAGACGGGATTGCAACAGGAGTCGGGAGTGGGACCAACCGAGGTCCAAAGAGCCAACGTGGGTCGCCAAGACTGCCATGCCTCTGTGCTAGGAAGTCAGGCTCCTCTTGTCATAGCTTTACTCACAGCATGAACAAAAACCCACAGCGCGCGCGGGTTTCGATCCCCGGCGCTGTTCCTCAGAAGTAAAGGGCCAACAGTCCCGCGGGGCTGCTTAAGCAAAGCGGGACGGGGGTTGCGCCCGATCCCCCCGAGGTGCCCCGACGTCGGAGTCCCTCGCATCCTCCAGCGCCTTGCTCGGAAGCAAACTCACGGAGGCCAACAGGGCCCACTTACTCCCAAGTAAGCGTGCCGAGGATTGCAGCCCCACGACCCGATCCTCCTGTGCAGTCACTCGGAAGTCAGTTCTTCCGAGGGCCCAGGAGAGCTACTCGCGAGTCGGGGCGCCGCGGCCGCTGCTGAAGTTCGGGCTTTGCACTTCCGCTGAGTTGAGCGTGGCAGGGATGAGGGAGTCCCTCGAAAGGAGGCGCCGGAGGACGCCAAGGCGAGTCCCGCGCTCGATCGGGCATCGCCGCTTCCTCGCCTCCCTCCTCCGCAGCTGTGGTATAGTCCTACCTGGCTCTGCTTGCCGGGGCATCTTTTGCTGCAGCGCCCGGCGGGGCGGCCTCTCTCCTGAGACACGCGGGGCGAGCTCTGCGCGCCCGCGGACTAGAGGCCCGCGGGTCGCCCGCTCGCCCAGCAACACGCCGGCTGCCCGTGCTCAAGAACCGATTAGGCTGACCGGAGGCGCAGGACGGGGGGGACCTCCCTTTCTGCGAGGCTGCTAAATAAAGAGGAATGCTCCTTAAGTGGCGCTCACACCTTGGGCTTCTCTCTCTCTTCCTTATTCTATCCCGCCTTCAGGCTGAGGGAGCCCGCAAGGTGGCCAAGAACGTTACTAATTATGGTTCACCCAAACCAGAGCACACGCAGACGTTCTTCTCCATAAATTTTCCAGAACTACCCCGTGCCTCTGAATTAATCTGTTTGCCTTGTGCATTCTCTCCTCTACAAAAAAAAAGGAGCGACGGTTTAATCAAACTCCAAGCCGCCTGCTGCCTGCTTGCAGAGCCGAAACGCTACTGTCGGTTGAACGCATTCCGGTTAGATAGATTTCCCTGCTGTTTGGGGAGTCTTCTTCGAGTAAAAAAGAAAAAAAGGCATGATATTAAAGAACTCAAAGCACCTTGGGCTTTTTTCATTCTCCTCCTCCTCCTTGCAATCTTATCTCTACAACAACCAGCCTGTAAGAGTAGGTTGTGCTGAGAATCTGTCCCTGTAACCCAGTTGGCTCCATGGCTAAGCGGGGACTGGAATCCAGATCTCCAGCGTTCCTGTCTCACACGCTTAACCATACACCACACTGGCTTTCTTAGTCTAAGACCGGGTCAGCTCCCAGGATAAGTTTGCAGCATTCACATCCGCTCATTTCATGTCACACTCCCCCTCTCAAATGTCCCAGCGGTCAGGGTGGAAACTCTAGCAAGACTCCAGGGTGGTGGGAGCGGCAGGGAGGAAAAAAACTTCAGAGAAACTTTGAAGGCACTTACTTACCTTGGTTGCAGCATAGAGTGATGCGTGAGATACTCAGTTCAAAGCCGATTAAAAGAACAAGGGTTTATCCTGCCCCACAAGGGACAGTAACAGAGAGGTCTCCATTGCTGTTACACGCACAAAATCTTACTGCTGGGTGGAGAGAGAGCAGGTGTGAGGGATAACCCTTAAATTAGTCCACAGGCAGGAAGGGAAGCAGTAGAGGAAGCAGCACCATCACCAGTGGCCCTTTCACACAAATGAGAAACACTTGCATTGAGGGAGAGGCCGAAAATAGTGTTTGCCACGCTTCCCCTTTCAGGATTTCAAGGTGGCCTTTTCTCACCCCTACCTGGAGATGTAGGAAGCTTGGAACATTCTGCCTGCAAAGAAGGGGCTGCATTGTTCAGCCATAGCCCCAACAGGATATACAGATTGTGTGCAAGGAATTTGTGAGTAGGCAAACCCATCATAAGTGAGAGCTGCATCAGCCCCCATAATTAGCTGCAATTTTACACAAGTATCTGCTAATTCAAAGTGCTTTTGTAATAGCCTAAATAAAGGCAGTGGTTAACTCTTACATGCAAATATGAGAGGCTATTTGATTCCTTACAAAAATGGGGCATGTAAAACCCAGAAAGTTTGAGAAAACATGTTAGTGAATGTCAGCTTGCCCCTACTCTGAATTCTCAAGAGGTCCTTTTCCAGATGCCTCTACAATCAGAGGTGGGACAGACAGCTGTGCGAGACAGAGCCTCTTCCAGGCACAATGCAAGCTCCTGACAGCATGCCTAGTGCCTTTCCAGCAGCAGGCAAACCCCTACTAATTCAGGCGCATTTGTTTTTGGTTTTTTGCTGGACATTTTTACTCAGATCTCTATGCAGGTGTTACAGGTTTGCTCATTCTGACTGTCCAGGTGCTTTCATTTATTCCATGGTTTTTAACACTGCATGCATGCCCCCCCCCCATCACGTATTTGAAGGACAGGGTATAAATTATGTCATATGAAATAAAAGGGTTGGACACAAGATTAGAACTAGACTGATATTCCAGAGCCAGGCATGCTCTAAATGCTGTAGATTAACAGGAAACGGTTTTCATTGTTTGTCTTCCAAGTACTGAAATGAAAGTCCAACGTAATGTTAATCGCTCTGGCTCCTTCGGTGGTGCTGACATGTGCTAAGTGCAAGCTCGTCACAGCTGGGGCCTGACGGCCACTCAAGCACCAAGCTGTGGTGCCCCATCAGCAGTTACCTGTCAAGTGAATCACACAACACCTTATGCAATTGCATTACACAAGATTGTTGTAACAAGCTCCTGTTTTAGTTACCTTGCAGTGCTTCAGTTATCCATCGCCTTCATAGCCTACCCATTAGCATCAGGTTGGTGTACATCAAGGTTTCATACAAAGAACTCTATGAGGCAGATTGGGTCGAGGAGTTTGCAGACCATGTTACAGGGGATCTTGGGATTCCTCTCTGACAAGTTCAGTACAGATCGCTAAGGCTCCCTGAAAGTTAACTCGCTGGCCCAGTACTATCACCTCCCGTAACTGTGGATTTGAAGAGCCCACCCCAAACGTGTACCCTACACCATGCTCCAGAATGCAACACGCCAGGACTACACACATGAAAGTCCCTGGGAGGCCTGCTGTGCACAGGAAATGCTTTCCTTGGAAGCAGAAAGTCTCAGGAAAGGATTGGCGCAAAGCCATGGATGAAGAGGCCATATCTCAAGTTAGACAACGTGAGCATCAGGCCAGGGTGAGGAATTCTTGCAACTAACTCCAGTGCTCAGGATGAAACCCATGACCTACCCAATTGAGTCTGTCAGCAGCAGACCAGTCAAATACCATTTACTGTGGACCAAGAGGGAGCTTCCTCCATGGAAAAATGTACTTTGTCAATGGGCCTTCCCAAATGTCAGGTGGAGATTTGTGTTCAGTTCCCTCTGGGGTTCAAGCCCACAACTCCAGCCACTATGTAACACACATTGTTCACATTGTCTGAACTCTAGTCAAGCTCTTATCCTTTGGTAGTTGCCAACATGAAAGAGTTTCGCAGTATACAACTTATTTGTACCTTTGGTGCAATTTAACAATAGGACAAAGAAAGACATGACCAACTGTTCTCTATTCCATGCATCCTTTATTCCATTACAACCACTGTTGTTGCATTCAGGCAACAAGTACACAAACCATAATCAATCGCGATCCATTTTTTTACAACAATCAGAGGCTTACAGTACATTTAAGGCCATTCAATTTGGGAAAAACCTTAGGCCTCTTAGTGTAATGATTCTAAGTGTTTTGCATATTCTGTGCGATTCCAGTGTCAGAGAATGTAAAGTTTCCCCTAAACAAAAGGTCAGTTTCAATTAAAGGTTTTTTTTTACATAAATTCATCAAAAACAAATGTGTAATTTTTTTGTTGTCTTGGAAATCTTATAAAACTTTTAATAGCAAAATAATGCAGGGATAAAAACTTATAACAAAACATATTTGTATACAAACCAGAATTTGTTAACTAGACTTAAAATTTTAAACTACCGATCAGGAGTTATGTATAATGTAAATTCACTTATGTACAATGCTTTTAAAAACCTCTATAAGGAATACTTTACAGAAGGAAATGCCAGACTTGGCTCTTACTCAGACTGTAGACATCATCTGAATAATGTGTTTTAGTAAATTTACACAACTTTTAAGTAAAAAGAATTAAAGGGTTAACCATCTAGTCATGATTCCTTTAAGAATATTTCATCTTGTAAATATGCATAAAATGGATGAAATGTTATTTCAGAATCAGCCCCATTTAGAAATTGTGTGTCCCCATGAAATTTTCATTAAGTTACTCAGGAAGGTATGCTTACCACCCCAAAAAACTCCAAATAACCACAATGAGAAATCACCACCAAAACTTTCCAGTTACAACAGCACAGCTAGAAATGTTACATGGAGAATGCACTTAAGACTGAATCCATAACTCAGTATGAAGCTGTACGTCAGATTGCTTGCATTCCAGATTGTGGGAAGATTTTCAAAAAAAGGAAAAAAGAAAAAAAAAGAGAGAAAAGAAAAAACAAAAAACCAAGAAAAAGACAAGAAATATGAAGGGTGCGATACAAAAAAGTTTGGGAGCATTAGCTTGTACTAGGTTAAGTAGAATCCTTATGATCAGCTAGTATTCTTCCACAACTCGAATTCTTCTAGGATAAAGAAGGTAAAAAATATTGGGGATTACAGTAGCGACTGTTAGAATTGCTTCCTGATATAAAAGACAGTCAAGACTTGATCGGATCCGCCCTAATGAGAGGGCATTTCTTCAAAGTATAAAGCTATTACAGCTAATCCAGTTAATGCATGTGCAAAAACAGGGAAATTCTTCCATTCACAGTTAACTGAGGTAAAAAAAGAAAAGAAAAGAAACGGTCAGGTAGGTTTCTTCAGGAGTTGGGGAGTTCATGCGATATGAACTGTTTTAGTCGTTCTAGGTACTGTGCATAAAGCTCTATGTCATTGTGGCCAGCCCCTTCCACCCAGAGGGGCTCGACTGCTCTGGGACATCGCTCATACATTGCCAAGCCATGCGAGAAATCTATTACTTCATCTTCGGTACCATGAATCACCAACACAGGAGAGGTTACTTTAGAAATCTTGTCAATGCTGAGGAGGTAAAAGAAAAGAAAACCAAGATGGCATTATAAGAAAGGAAAAGCAAGATATCACTGTAAGTAGGTAACATCTATAGTTTTAACATCCTTTCAGGGAACGTTGAGGTTGTTCAAGGAAAAGACCACCAATAGCAGACAATTCCAGAAAGCGTTCACCCACACACTACCGAGATGTTCTAGTGACAAACAGCCGTGGCTGAGTATTGGGCATGTCCTATGGCACCACTCTAGAGGTGACGCTGGGACTCAAATAGTTCTGGCCAGTGCCTGAAGACATGGCCGGAGCCCTTCGCAGAGTGGCGGCTCCATGCTATCACTGGCTACTTGTCATGATGACATTATGCAAACTCGGAGGCAATACTCTAGCTCTGGGGAACAAAAGCAAGAAAAGGCACTGCTAGTGGGTTTCCTGGAGGCATCTGGCTGGCCCTCTGTGGGACTAGAGGGACCTTTGGTGAGGCCCAGAAGGGCCCCTCTTACAGAAGAGGCTCCCAGAAGTTAGCTGAAGTATCTGGAATGCATTAACCATCTCCCTCTCTCTCCCCACCCCACAGAAATGGGGCTGCCACACTGCAGGCTTTTATCCTGGAGGGCCCCACGGGCTTAGGGTCTGTGTGCAACCACCAAGAGGGTGTCCTCCAATGATCTCACAGTGACTGAGGTCACTGGAAGATATGATGTCTTGTTAAATGTCTCCTGCCTGCCACAGAGACAGGCAATGCCCAAATCCCTCCGGCCCCTTTGGAAGCTCAGGCAGGGATGTTATGGTGTCATTAAGTCAGGCTGGTATCATGTTCAAAGCTTTACACTCCTTGCATTGCCAACAATATGCTGCTAAAAGGAAGTGCCATTTGTCCCTTCCTTTCTGCCAAAGCTGTCCAACTGTGTCCGGAATGAAGGCTACATCTGTGCTAAGAAAAGACCCGAGGCTGGTTGCAGATTCTATAGACTCGTGATAAAGAATGAAGTCAGATGCACATAGCTCTGAAAGTCTGAGGCATGCATTTTTAGAAAACCATGCACAGTTGCCATGGGGGAAACAGGAACTCCCTGTGGCTCCTCCTGATGCAAGTGCACCCTCAGGAAGAAAAAAGCAAAGTATGACATCAAACCCTCCAAAGCATGCCTCCAAAAGTCAACTCGTGTGTACTTTTAAGAGGGAGACCGCTCTTTGAATTGTGGAAAGGGCGAGGTGCCACCAATAGTAGCACTGCCTGCCAACTCACGTACAGGAAACAGGAGAGCAGGAAGGGGTCTCACTGATCCTCTCCTCCCCAGTGTGAAGGAGTAACCACAGATCTGGTCAGTATTACAGATCTGGTCCCTGTGCATCTCAGTGGCAAATTTCCATGACGGCTCAAAGGGAGATTTTGAAAAAAAAAAAAAAAAAAGAGCAGCAAAGGGACAGAAGGAAAGGATGAACATCAGGTCCTGCTGCTGTTCATTGGGTTAGAAAGTCATTTGTCCACATGCAGGAAGGAATGAGTTAGGAGTCCCCTGGATGCCTGTAACTGCCTGTATGTTAAGCTCTTCAAAACAAAATCAGTGCTCACATTCAGCAGGGCAAGTGTTAAAATAAGCGTGAGGTTGAGAACTCCTTGGCTCATGCAGGCTGGGCAAAGCACTTACTCTTTCAACTGAGAGGGTGAGCAGCAGGCCAAGAAAGAGGGGAACCCCCCGATAACATCCCCTCATGCCCTTTGTTCTTCTAATCAGGAGGAGGAACGGTGCACAGGAAGCCCTCTTCAAGAGGCAGGGGCTTCCACCAGGCTGACAAAACTGGCCGGTGAGCCAGAGGTACCCAATCTCTGTACTTTAAAAAAGGGGGTTACCAGTTGGGACAATATTTATTTCCCACTTTTTCCCTTCAAGCAACTCAGCCTTGTCATCTCAGCCAAGAGCTCTGGACAGGGTACAGGACATATTTATCTTCACAGCACAAGAAGGCAGATCAGTAAATTGAAAGGCGTGCCACAGCTCCATCCCTTGACAGGATACTGAAACGGGCCATCACACTCAAGAGCTCAGTTCTAAACCCTGCACTGGCTCTCAGAAAAATTAGAGCTGCAATTCCATGCACACCTCACTGAACAAAGCGGTACTTCTCAGTGCACATTCACAATACCAGAAGACAAATTTATGTGCATTTTTGTATCCCACGCTTTCACCAAGAAGTTCAAAGGGCATGCATCGCTTCCTCTCTCCATCTTATTCTCACAACTACCCTGTCAGGTAGGTAAGGCTAAGAGAAAGCAATTGGCCTTACGTCACCCAATGAGCTTCACTGAACCTGGGTTGAACCTGGGTGCCCAGTCCCAGATTAACAATTAAACTGCACTAACTCTCAAGACAATGCTGCTTCATACTTCCCAAGCAAGATTTTGTTTGGATTATTTTTATTGTCTGATTTTGATGTCCTGCTTCTTTCTTTCTCACACAGTGAACTACTGTAAGTATTTAGTTTCCCTGCCCCTCAAACACTACATTTACAATCTCCAAAAACAGCACGTTACCTGCCTTAACACTTAAGCAGAAAGAGCAGTGCAAGAAAACTAATGCATTCTCTCCTGCTAACTTCAGTTTTAAGCCCTGCAGCCCAACTCCTGCTCAGAGTAGAACACTTCCAGTCATCGCACGACGATGTACGTGGAAGTCTTTCATATAATCTTAACAGGTACATTGCTCGTTCACACATGCCCCGCCTCTGACATTTACGGCACTCGAGAGGGAGCCTCTTCACTGTAGTGTGCACATATTTAGTGTCACACACGCCCCTCGGGCATCTCAGAAAAAGTGTTTGTAGTTTACAAAGCCATTGGAAGGCATCCCACTGCCAGCTCAGCAGCTCAGTAAGGCAGCATTCAAAGAGCATATTAGCCTTACTTACTTGGTATTCCAAACCACACTGCTCTGCAGCTAGAGAATTCTACAGAGACTCCATTCTGATGGAACCCAACATCAGCGAGCACAGATTTCTGTTACCCCCCCCACCCCCACCGAACAATTTACTTGCTTATAAGCAGGCAACCATTCATGCAAGTCCCAAAACGTTTAACGTACAAACGGAATCCAGACTGCCAGTGAGGGAGAGCTGTGGTGCAATATAACGTTGCTGCTAAGCTATTCTCTGCCCCTGGTGTTTTTCACCTGCTATTTGACTTGGCCCATTTCATCCAATCTCTATTCCAAACCTTGTAAATAAGCTTCAAAAGCCCAAATGCTCAGAGGAAGTTTGTCATACTGCAAATATCTGCAACTTTTTAAAAAGGTAGGAGGTGGTGGTGGTACCAAAAAAAGTGATAGTGGCACGTTAACCCCAAAGCACCCAGTCAGAAACTGTCCTCTGCAAATGGCTATGCTGCCTGCCCATGAAGCTGACATTTTCTATACAGCTGCAGTTCAGATTCCCAAAGCACTCTGACGTTTGTGTCAGGGACTCTTCTAACAGCAGCCCAAGACCATGAACTCTTGAGGCAGCACCTCTAAATTCACTAATTGCAAACCATATAAGAAAGTATCGCCCATACCCCTAAATAGCAAGAGAAATCTGTTCTGCTAAGTGACTTTACATATTTTGCAGGAAATAACTGGTACATTTGTACCAAAGGAGTTGTGTCTTAGAGAATAAAAACTAACCAAGCAGTGGCTATAATAACCAAGCGGTGACTTATATTTACTTGCTATAAGGTGTGATCATACACATAACCATTCTCATCTGCTAGGTCAATACAGTTCAAGAAACAGTGGTTTTATTTTTGGTTTTTTGCCAGTCCTGTTTGGTCACCCTCTGCCACTTCCCTCCTCTCCAGTTATGCTGTACTTTTTCTTGCATATTCAGTTATAAATTAAAGCATGCAATAAATAATTGCATTTAATGTACTGAAGCCATTTTCGGATGCAAATCCAGCAAAGGCTCCTCCAGATGCTACATACATATCAAGCCACTTCTAGTATAAAACAGAAATCTTTCAGAATCTAGACGATTAAATCATAGAAACTCCTATGCCCTCCAGTTCAGGCACTGAGCAATATATCTTCAGATTATTTATTCTGACTGAAAAGTTTGACGTTTACACTGGTGGCATCTTAGATATTGCTTATACCACGGTGACTCCTAAGTCACATCCTTACTGTGTGGTTCCCAACCTAGCAGCCAACTCCATTCACACCACATTTTCAAGCTTGTGGGCACTGAAAGAGCCTGCAAAATTTCAGCTCTCTATTGAGATACGCCTCAGACTAGGAGGGATCATTAGGGTACAGGAAAGAGATAACCACAATGATCAGAGGGCTAATCTTACTATGGTGTGAGAAAATGGACAGAACTTGGATCCTAATATTAGAACCAATTAACCTGATAAAGAAATTCAGGACAGAAAAAAGGATTTTTTTTTCATGCAAATTCTTAAAATGTAGAATTTGCTACTGCATGATGCTATGATGGCCATCAACTTTAAAAGAGGATCAGATAGATTTATGGAAAAGAACATCTAGACATTATAGTTTATAGCATGTCTCTGAATTCCAGCAGAACAAGGTTCTTGACTTCATGTCCTGCACAGGGACTTTCCAGAGGTATCTGTTTAGCCATTGTGGAAAGAGGATGTAGGATGCGACAGGACTTCGGTTTAATTCAGTGAGACTCTTCCTAAAGGCCTGAAGAAAATTAGCTTTCTAGCAGCAACTACATGTTAAACAGTTGTCCCAATTTCCCCTTAAACTATGTGTGAGAGTTTAGAGTTTTTACAACTTTGGGTGGGGGAAGGGATCTTTAAGGTTCTACATTTACATATGCTACCAGATATAGTATACCTCCAACATGGTTGGAAAGATTATATTATGGAGAAAAATAGTAATACTTTTAGCATAGTACAGCATTTAAAGAGGTTACACCAAAAATGCATATACACTAGGAACTTGAAAGTCCCTTGATCTGGAGAGCTCAGCTATGCATTCACAGTCAGCAAGGTAACCAAGTTAAGGAGTATACAGTGACATTATTACATGCAAATACATGAAGATATTTTATACCAAGTCAGTCTAGCCATTCTGACCAACAGTAGCTTCCCAAGCCTCAAAGGTCATTTCATGCCTTCACCTGAAGCAGTCTTCCCTAACCTGGCACCCTCCAAGTAGTGTTGGACTACAGCTCCTAGAATTCCCAGTCAGCATGACCAGCAGCCATAGTAGCTGAGAATTATGGGAGCTGCAGTTCAAAGCATCTGGAAGGTGCCAGGTTAGGGTTGAACTTGGAATCCATCTACATGCAAAGTACATGTTCTGCCCTGATCTGGAGGCCACCTCCAGGCTAAGCATTGAAATGGAAATAAAGCCCAAGAAAGTGCAGTGCAGATACTTCACCTATCTGGTTTATTTAGTAGCTTCTCATTCTCTCTCTCTCTAAAGTGGCCATATACCTGATTCAGTGTGTCCACAATCTAGATTTATTTTTAAAGATATACCCCAACTTAAATATCCTCAGTGAATGATGCCTCCCTTGGAGTGAATTTTGCACATACCTTGGGAAAGCATCAAAGCAGTATGTTTTCCTAGTGTCCGGAAAAGCTACGCGCAAACCAGACATCAAGGGTGAATGAAGGATTACAGCTGCACACTCATACCGAGATGCCAGGTCCACAGTGGGAACAGTTCCAATACTCTGTCCATACAGAATGATGTTCTCAGGACTGACACCATACCTGCAAAGGTAGGAAGGAGGAAAACAGAAATGTATCTTGTTTGTAACTTGGAACAGATGAACATATTTTTTCATTTTCTAGATATAAAATGTCCGGTGTGTTAGCACTGTCACATCATGGCATACTGAGGACTTCTGCAGGTGGCAAAGAGGCAACTACACAGCACTATGGGCTATTTCCTCCTGTTCTGCACAAGAGCTCCTACATTCATCTGTAAGCCGCCCCAAGGCTTCGGCGAATGGGGCGGCCTAGACATTTTCTAAATAAATAAACAAAATAAAAACATACTGGCCCACGTGGGATATAGAAACAGGAATACAAAAAGGGAGAAGAGTCAAAAAACATGGGAGGACATGGCCTGCCATTTCTGTCTTAATTTCCACATCTGGACAGGAACATCCATGGCAGACTTCTTCCTTGCATAAACAGATTTACCATATGGCCGCATTCCCAGAAATGCATTTGAGGCCAGGCACACCAACCCTGCTAATCTCCCACAGCTTTCAGTTTTCAGCTAAGTGAAAAGTTTTACATAGCTGCTTGAGTGTCCAAGTCCTGTGGACAAGAGATCACAGGAGATGGAGGATAACGGTGACCTGATTTATGACTGAATAATACACAGAAAAGTTTCTGGTGAGTAGATGTCTGTGTAGTGATAGCGCCTACACATTAGTTTTCTTATAGTCCTGGGTACTAGGAAGGTTACATTCAAAAATACAGAATTCAATTCTTAGTATTTCTAATCATGAAGCAGTGCCAATTTATTTACTAAGGCACTGTGTGGCTTTGAGCAAATAACTATTTGTGGCTTAGTTTTCCCACTTGTAAAATGGGAACCACCATCTATTTTGTAAGGCTGTTATGAAGACACCATTTGTGAAAGAAGCTTTTTATATTCACATGAAGCGTAAACAGCCATGGCAGGATCAATAAAGCAGGAATTCTGGGAGAAGACAACTTCCAAGATACTTTGTAATAGCCAAGAAGTCTTAGAGCCCGGCTCTAATACAGAGGTATGTGACCCACAGTACAGGTATCTGCTCAAAGAAGACATTCCAGAAAGATCCTAGGTGGTCTCTCTTAAGAGTACTCAGGACATTTTCAGGGGGAGTTACATAGTAGCTCCTAAAATACCCTCCTAGAATCAAAAGGGGTTTTGTCTGTGAGAAAACAGAAAACCATGTGATCTTATGTGATCAAGTTGCTCTTGCAAAGATCATCTTCATAGACAAGGCCCAAACACAACAGTGTGGAGAGCACACATTCCTGGGTGGAGAGGCAGGGCAGTCACAGTGTAAAGATACAAAGTTGAAGGTGGAAACTAGTATCTTAATCAGTGTGTTGAGAACACTGCCTATTTCATTCTGAAAAGAAAAATACAAGGAGCTGGGGTCAGATTTAGGTGCTACCTAGAGTCAATGGGAGTGAAATCAATGAAGTCAATGGGAGTGATTAGTCTTAACCAGCTGAAGACCCACTGATTTCAATGAGTCCACCCCAAGTAGGGCTAAATCTAAATACCTAAATCAAGGTATTTATAATATTTCCAGAATGTATACCGCTATTCGTACATTCCCAGAACAACTGTAGAAGGGATGGGGGATGGAAGGACCCAGGTATACATTATCCACACTTGTTGTTGTTGTTAGTCGCGTCTGACCCATCGCAACCCCATGGACAACACTCCTCCAGGCCTTCCTGTCCTCCAGCATCCCCCGGAGTCCACATAGGCTCATGCCAACTGCTTCAGTGACTCCATCCAGCCACCTCATTCTCTGCTGTCCCCTTCTTCTCTTGCCATCTACTGTTCCCAGCATTAGGCTCTTCTCCAGGGAGTCCTTCCTTCTCATTAGATGGCCAAAGTATTTGAGTTTCCTCTTCAGGATCTGGCCTTCTGAGGAGCAGTCAGGGTTGGTGCCTCTAGGATTGACTGGTCTGATCGCCTTGCAGTCCAAGGGACTCGCAGGAGTCTCTATCCACACTAAGCAATTCTAATCGCAGTATTATTCTAATAAGAAACAGTAATTCACAGCTCCAATATATTTTATCGCTTCCACAAAAAGTTTACTGTTGCATTTCATTTCAGTAACTGACCACACTTTTACCATACAGAAGACTGCAAAGCAGCTAGCCGTCTACACTGTTCACTGGTAAAACAGACCTGGTTCACACATGCGTATTATCATTTGATGAGTCTGCCACATGAAGCAGCGAGTTGCATGTGCGGAGGAGCCATCTCAGATCTAACAGCATAGACAGCCTATCTAGACAAAATGATCAGAAGTCCTCATGCACAGCCTATCAAGTGTAGAGAAATCACATTCATTTCATTCATGCTCAAGTTGTTTTCAATTCTATTTTTACATTTTGTATATTGAAACTTTTATGCTTTTGATATTGTATTGTTGGGATTTTAAACTTAACTGTTATGAACTGTTCGGAGAGCTTCAGCTATTGGATAACAGAAATAACAATAATAATTTATTTCTAAAATCTATAAACTGCCCTTCATTCACAAGCAAGCTCAGGTAAGGGTATGCTACATTAAAATCAAATAAACAGAACTAGTATAAAGCACATAGTTACAAATTGAGAAGCAAATTAAAACAAATCTACACACATGTATAAACGAGGGTACGCTTCTACATACAACCATCATGCAGCCCTGCCATAAATGCCTCCTTCATGGAATTAAATCCAAACAAGTTCAACAAGACTTGCTCCCGAGAAGAATGTGTAGGCATTGCATCCTCTACTGATGTTTGCCAAAGGTTAAGTCATGGGTCTTAAAAGTCATAACTGCAGAAGCATCATCAGTGCACCTCAGTTTGTAGACTGCTGCAATTCAACAGGACACATGAACAGTATAATCCATATCAGCTTGAAGTCCCCAGTCACACCTCAGCACACTTTCCGAACAAGATCCTTTAGGATTAAACTGCAATTCTTTGCAAGTTCACATCGGCCAAGCTCGTCAAAAAACAAAACAGCTTTGAACGAGAAGTAATATTGATTTTCCACATGTCTTTCACTTGACAAACTGTCTGGACAACTTGGTGGCACTCTAGATGCAGCCACCTTGAGTATCATTCTTTGACAAAAGATGGGACATATAAATAGTTCTGGCCTACAAGTCCCATCATGCCTAGCCAGCATACCCAATGGTGAGAAGTTGCAGGAGTTGTAAGCCAAAACTTCCGAAGGACCAAAAGTTGCTGAGCCCTTGCTTATAGGAATAAATTTGCCCAAACTTTATGTTCTTCACTCAAATCTCAAAGGGCTGTAGCAACTTGCTCATAAAGTAAGACTAAAAGTATGCCCTAACAACTTGAGATAGGAGAATCAAACATCCATTGAAAGCATTTGTTTGTTCAGCAAATAAATGAAAAGCACTAGTAGTAATTATCTTAAGATATGCCACCTCAGCTGGCCCTATTCATCAAGTCCATGAACCAGGTTGTTTAAGCAGCTTACATTCTGCCAGTATGGAAAGCCGTTGTTGGGTGTTGAAGCAGGGGGAGGGGAAGCAAAAGAAAAGACCTGCACAATTATGCCTAGAAATCAAGCCTACACACACCTTTGAGCCATTCTGGGGTTCAATAACCACCACCACATATTCAAATGGCACTGCAGCCATACAAACACCCTGAATAACCTTTAGCATGTGTATCACAGCAGGAGAACAGGAGCCAAGCAAGAAAGCAACACAGAAAGCTCTGTGGCCTCAGCAGAAGTCTAGAACTGGCTCAGGAGAGAAGGAAACCGCAAACTGACTTGGAACAAACATCTCCTGTTCATTGGGAGCAGTTGTGAAAAGAGTGAGCTCCCACCCCGTCTCTAAGGAGCTAGGACTAAGCAAGCAACTTCTCTTGCGATGACTGTGCAGCACATGTCTTTAAAGTTCACAGAGCTAGACCCACAGAAAACCAGAACGTTTGGAAACTGGCTGCTTCTGCACAGATACTTTAAAATGGAATTTGGCATGCCGTGCTTGATTCCTGTGTATTTGCTTGATGGTAGGTAGCATAACACACGTATTTACACTCACTGCTTTTTTAGGAAGTTAATGCGGAAGTTAATGACTTCAAGACCACTTCAAGACTTATAAAAAATAGTATGAAGGAAGAAGAAAGTCAATTTGGTTTGCTACAAAATGTACTTGTATGTTTCAGAGAAAAAATATATCCAGGCAGGTGCTACAGGTCCCCTGCTGTGGTGGGACTACCAGAGGCAACCAGAAGCCTGTTGATTCCTCTACAGGAAGAGATTCTAATGGAGAGATTTCAAAGGATTTTCTTCTTTACAGTTCAAGGCTAGATAAATAAGTATGGCATGGTTGGGAATGCTCATCTTACTTCCTCACCATTTGACTACAGTATTTTGTGGAAAATATACACCCTCTGGTGCATGAAGATTTTAACTCTATCAAGTTAGGAGAGAAGGAAATATGCTGTCCACTAATTGCAGCAGCAAAGCAGTATAAATGGAAATCAAGCAGAAGAGCAGCCTGGCAACCAATATGTTAAAAAAAATCAGGTTCACCAGCGCAGCACAAGGGACCTAGAGTGACCAGGCAAGCAAGGGATGATCCACATGCTCCAGCTCAAATCTCATCACAGCCAGGGTGTTCCTTCCTTCCTGTCCCCAAAGGCTGCAAGGGCTCAGGAACTGGACCTTCTGAACAACAGTGAGAACTACTGGGTTTGTTCAGCCTAAGCAACCCTCCATATAACTGGGGCTTTGAAAGTATGTGGCTTAAACCAGTATTATGCTATTTCCTTAGCACAGTGGCAGAAGGAGCTCACCGTCACAAGGTGCAAAACCATTTTATGAAATTCAGTTTTAGAAAGACACACACACAGCAGTGAAGTTACTTTAACCAAGTTAGTCACATTTAATTAAAGATGCCCTGCAGCAAACAAAAGTTTGCAATCTAAGAGCTTTCTTAATGCAGGCAAGATGCACTGTCTGCCCACGAAAGACTCCCTGTGCTAACCAAC